AATGAAATAGGAAGGAGTCAGTAAGTAGAAGAGAGAAATAGACATAAAGGTGAAAGTATGAGGGTTTTAGCTCTTTTGATGAGAGACACAAAAGAATATTTTATATAGGAAAAGATTTTTGTAAAATCAGATTTTTTTTTAAAGATTTATTTATTATGTATATAGTATTCTGCCTGTATTCATATCTGCATGCCAGAAGAGGGCCCCAGATCTCATTACAGATGGTTGTGAGCCACCATGTGGTTGCAGGGAATTGAACTCAGGTCCTCTGGAGGAGCAGTCAGTGCTCTTAACCTCTGAGCCATCTCTCCAGCCCCAGATTATTTTTCTAAGATAAAGTGACTGGTCATTAAGCTTGGTGGCAAGTTCCTTTATACGCTGAGCCATTTTGCCCACCACCCATGTTGTAAAAAGGAATCACCACAGTGCTATTACTAGCTTAGCACCTACATGCTGTTGATGTTTTGTTTGTTCTGAGTTAACCCCTCCCAACCCAGAAGCTCCTGGAGGGGAACAACGTTGAGACCAACAGAAACTAACCTGCCTCTGCAGTTTAAGAAACATCTCTACTCAAGAATTCGAAGAATCTGGGACAATGCAAAGCTCGAGGAAGGAAGTATAGCAGCACCAGTCTTATAACATGTCTGATCATGTGACGGGGCAGTGATTGACAGCCCGGCTGCTACTCCCTTTCACTTTTTTCACTTGCTGGCGGGATATGAGAGGGAAGACAGACTGTATTTTTTTTTTAATTTTATCTGTATGGGTGTTTCTCCTGCTTGTATTCCTGAACATCTCTTGTGTGTCTGGTGCCTGGGGAGGTCGTAAGAGGGTGTTGGGTCCCCTGGAACTGAGTTACAGATGATGTGAGTCACCATGTGGGTTCAGGAAATGGAATATCAGTATTCTGGAAGAACAGCCAGTCCTTTTGGTCATGACAAAGCTCGGGGGACCTTGGCAGATTCCATGGTGGGCGAGGGTGACCGAGGAGGGGGACAAACACACCAGGCAGACAGTGCTTAAATTAGAAAGGGGAGGGAGGAGGAAGGAAAGAGAAAAGAGGTCAAGAGACACAGAGACAGAGAGAGGACAGAAGAGGGAGACAGGGGGACAGGGGGAAGAGAGAGGGGAAGAGAGAGGGGAAGAGAGAGCAGAGGGAAACAGCTGGAAAAGAGAGTAAAGAGGGTAAGTGGGCAGGGGTCTGTCTTTTGTTTTGTTTTGTTTTTCGAGACAGGGTTTCTCTGTGGCTTTGGAGGCTGTCCTGGAACTCGCTTGGTAGTCCAGGCTGGTCTCGAACTTACAGAGATCCGCCTGCCTCTGCCTCCTGAGTGCTGGGATTAAAGGTGTGTGCCACCAACGCCCGGCCAGGGGTCTGTCTTTTAAAGGGGTCCTTTGCATCTTCATGCAGACTACACAATCACGGAACCCTGGGCTGACCAGGGTATTGCCTGAGTGCATTCTGCTAGGTGACAGGGGCAAGCCAGTATAATGCCTGAATCCTTACACTTCTCTCCAGCCCTAGGAAACAGACCCCAGTCCCCAGTCTTAGACTGTTGGCTCTCTGAAGGAGCAGTTGTAAAAATTCAGTTCCATCTGGGCAGTAGGGATGCACGCCTTTGATCCCAGCACTTGGGAGACAGAGGCAGGCGGATCTCTGTGAGTTCAAGGCCAGCCTGGTCTACAGAGTGAGTTCCAGGACAGCCTCCAAAGCCATAGAGAAACCCTGTCTTGAAAAACCCAAAACTAAACAAACAAATTCAATTCCAGTCTCTGTCCTTGGCATCTGCAGCCTACAGGCAAAAGCAGACTCCACTCCACACTCCCGTTACATAACCTGTCTTAGGACAAGACTAGTGTCTCTCTGCCCCTCCTGTCGCAATGAGTCCTTGCTTTCCTGCTCTCTTCCCCGATGGCCAGAACATTCCTTCATGCTAGGCCTGCAGTTTTTTTCTCTTGCCACCAGTTTTCTTGGTTACTGAGTGGTTATGGCCATAGTTAGCTCCTCTTATCTCTGTGGTTAAACCACTTATTTTACTCTTTTTTTCTTCACTCCTATTTCCTTAAATACCCCATCACATTTGTTTCTTTCAGAATCCAACAAATTCAAATGGCTATACAGCAAAAGTGCTGCTATCATTTATATTGCTTTCATTTATGTTCTACATACGAGTCAAGTATCTAGATTTCAGAAGTTAAGCTAACAATACCAGCCTCCCTGTCTAAGACTGGATCCTGAAACATCTCACGAGAAAGCCGTGGGACAAGAGCTCATGCTGCTCACACCTGTAAGCTGCTGAAGCCTTGCTTCTGTTCCAGTTTTTCTTTGTCTTTGGCCAAGGCTCACTTAACATCCTCCTATAGTCTTGTCTTTTGACTCCAGGCCTTGACAGTTGAAATAATAATGACTTTGGGATGCCAGCTGCTGCTTGCTATAATTGTAGCAGAGTAGGACATAGGAGGGCTTTGGTCTTGGACATGCGCTGGTTCCCATCAGATCCTGGTATGGTGTTGTGTGTACTGTGGGACAATTCTCTTACCAAGGCTGGTTTCACTGTCCCCAGCACAACGCTGAGGGTGGAATTTTAATTGATGGCCAGCAGCTCACTCTTTCAGCCATGTGCAAAGTACATGGGAAATCCCAAGAGGTAAACGATCGTTTGTGTTGCAATGTGATTGTATCACAATTGCTCTTGTTTTGTTTAATTTTTTTTTAATCGTTAACAAAATTTAATTTCAACCACAGCTTTGTTCTAGAGCCCTTGCTCCCTGACTGGTGGAAAGTGGTTCACTAGGATTCAGTCTGGCTGAGCCACTTACTCAACCTACAGTGTGACAACGGCTTTCCTACTGGGAGCCTCTGTCTTCGCTGCCTTTGGGGTTTCAGTCTCTCTAAGACACACCCATGTCCTGAAGCATTGACTGGAGTGAGTGAATGTGGGAACACCAGACCTTGAGCAGAGACCCACTTCCCCTTCTGCCTGGGAGTAGGCAGCTGTAAGACAATGTTTACTAAAAACATGTTTACTAAAAACAATACAATGCCTGGGGGCATTAAGTTCCTGGAAAAGGCCTGCCCGCAGAAACCACCCTGACCTCGACCTTGTCCAAAGACTAACCACCTCTTCTGCCACGCCCAGATCAGTTTGCTGGAGTCAGAGCAGAACCAGCGAGGGGTGGAAGAGAGAGCAGAAGCTTCTCTGGTGGGAGCTTTTCTTAGGAAGTTTTCTTGAACCTTTTTGGGGCCTGCTTAAAGTTTTCTTTACACCGTTGAACGAGTCTCTGTGTTGTCAATCCCCGACACCCTCCGCACGTTCTCGGACACAGGCCGCGCAGCAGACACGACAAGTGAAACTGGTCACTCCAGAGGACTAGGATAGGCTTCTGGGACTCACATATTTTGTCCTCGGAGCACAGGACTGGAATGCTTGCACCAACACTGGGAGACAAAGACACCTGGGCCTTCAGAAGACTCGCAAACTTGGAGCTCTCCAAGTGACGTGGAAACCTGAGCGCTGCGGCTACCCGGAAAAGGAGAGATGAGTTCCCAGCACTGAATGCTGGCCAGGACACCAGCCAAAACCGCGGAACACTACCTGCTCTCCGCAGGGAATCCAGAGAAGGGCCCTTCCCGTGGTCGCCAACCGACATCAGGGGGCGCTCGAGCGCTGAGCCTCTTCCCTGTTGACTGAGTGCCCTCCTTCACCCGTAGATACCCCTAAGCCCAGCAGATGGGCAGGAACAGAAATAAAAGCGAGCAAGGCTGAGGAAGGTGGGTGGGCATAGGAAGCGGGGAGGACGCCTAACTCCTATGTCATCATCCATTGGATTCAGGGAGCCCTGATCCTCATCAAGGGCCACACCGGAATTCAGGACAAAGTTTGTCAACATAGCAGAGTTCTTTATCTTGGAGGACAAGAATCAGTGGTTAATCCCTAGGACTGAGGACCTGCACCCTTCATGGGCGCCATGGGGAAATGGGACTAAGGGTTGCTAATTGGCTTAGTTCTACCCTGCCTGGAGAGGCCAAATATTTGAAAGGAGGCCCCCACCCAGGATGCTGTTAACCACTGGCCACAACACGGAGCCAGAAACCCGTCAAATTGGGGAAACCCTGCCCCCCTCTCTCAGCACCAGCCATTTCCTGTTCCAGGACTGGAGGAAAACAGATGGTGAGGGGCCCAGAAGCCAGTGAGCTGAGAGCCCGGTGTTCAAATTCAGTTCCCCATTGTCCGCTGCCCAGCCCACTGTAGTCTCCCTCCATTGAGTCACGTGCCTCTTTCCCTTTTACACACTCACTGTGCACGAGGTCCCAGCACTCTTACCCCCTGGGTTACTGTTTCCTGTGAGTCCCCGGGGTACTTTTCAGGTCTGTGTCCAGTCTGCGGGGATGAAAAGGCATTCCATGAACTGGACAGTAAAGAGACTAGCTCTGGGCTGCGGTTCGGGGCAATTTGATCCCAAGGATATCCAGCTGACCTCCTCATGTGTCTGCCCAGGAGTCTCCAAGTCATTACCCCCCATCTCCATGGTGCACACAGTATCAGGCACACAAACTGTCACACATCCATGAACACCAGGTCCCAGCTCCATAGGCACCATGTGGGCAGGTGAATCTCCAAAGTCACACACACCTCAGACTCTGGCTCGCCCACCTCTACCCGCATTTACCTTTAGGGAACAGGCATAGGCAACAAAATCTGGGCAGCAGAGCATCCTTGAAGAGTGTGTCAAACGGGGTCCTGACCAGGTAGCCAGGCAGACCTCACTGGGCATGTTGATGGTGGTGGTTATCATGGCAGTAGAGCCATGGGGTCCCCTGAGTGCGGCCACTTCAGGCCACTGTGCACTCCTGGTTTGGGGGGGGCACAGGCGTTGTGATCTAGGACAAAGTGGGAAGTGGGTACTGGTGAGGGGTCTGGAGGCCAGCAGGGAAGTTGCTCACCCTTTCTGCAGTGCTTTTCATTTCTCAGAAGAGGCTTTGTAGGTCGATGAATTTCCTAGAACCCACGATGTTAGGAATAATGCTCGTGAGGGACCATGGTGGATTCCGTGCTGGACACACACGCCAGGCAGACATGTGAGAATTTTTATTAGAAAGGAAGGGCGGGTGGGGCGGGGGCGGGGAGAAAAGAGACAAAGAGATACAGAGAGAGGACAGGAGAGAAGAGGGAGACAGGCAAAGTCCTGTCTGTCCCAGGGGAATAGAGGGAAAGAGAGCAGAGTGGATGGCGGGGGTGGGGGTGGGGGTGAGGGTCTTTCTTTTAAAGAGCCAGGGTACACATGCCTGCCCTGCGCAGGTGGGTGAGAAGCGGGGCCAGGTTTGCCTGGATTACAACACAAGGAGAGAACAAATCAGAGTTTTAAATTACAACTGTGGTGTGTGCCAAGGAAGGCCATTCCCACAAAGGCTCTTTTCAGCCTGCCTCCCATAGCTACAAGGCAGGAGGTGGAGATGGACAACAGCATGGAGTGATATACTAGTTATGATTTATTAAAGCTTGCCGGAGGCTTCAGAATGCAAAGCCAGTCACAAGCATAGAGGCCAGGCAATGGTGAGTCACGCCTTTAATCCTAGCAGCCATACTAGCAAGCCATAGAGCCAGGCAGTGGTGGTACACACCTTTAATCTCAGGACTCAGGATCTCTATTAGTTCGAGGCCACACTGAGCTACACGAAGCTCACACAAAGATGATCTCAGCACTTGGGACCACATGCTTTTGATCCCAGGATTTGAGAAGTATAAAAGGAAGAGGCAAAGTCAATCTTAGAGATTTCTTTTCCATCCACGCTGAGGACACAGCAGCCCTTCCAGCTTGAGGTAGAGGTAAGAGCTAATGGCTTCTCTGATCTTCAGCTTGAAGCTTGAACCCCAATATCTGTCTCTGGGTTTATATTACTTGTGTTACAACAGCAGGCGTTCCCATCATCTTGGGATTTAAGTCGTATGAACAAGCCCCGAACTATAAGTGACAGTGAGTGATGTGATTACCACAAACAGGCAAGGCTGCTGAGAGGGTCAGGAGCACGCCCAGATCCCTGTCTCCCAGGTTCATACACTAACCAAACCTTACTCCCCTATCCCAAGAGTGTTCCTGTCGTGTAAGCTATGGCCCGCTCCCATACTTCTATTGCATAAGTCACATATTAATGAAGGCTTCCACCTGGTGTAAGACCTGTTCACCCAAGAAACCTTAAAAGCACACCTTTAACCCGGACTGTGGTGGCACACACCTTTAATCCCAGCACTTGGGAGGCAGAGGCAGGTGGATCTCTGAGTTCGAGGTCAGGTCAAGGTCAACAAGTTACAGTAAAAAGAAAAAAAAGAGTATACTTTTGTTCTCCTACCACTGGCCTGGGAATCCATCTTACACTCCTACTGCACGGTGTCTTAACGTGCTTTGTTGAATTCATACTTGTTAGTGGCTAAATTTCACTAGCGATCCAGGTCTGGACCACAGCTAGAATGCGTTCAACACCAACAATGAAATGATTCAGTAGAAGGGCAAGAAAAGATGTGGCTTCTGTCTTGTGGGTGGGTGAACCATGATGTTTAAGGGAACAGACTTCTCAGACAGGGCCAGGAGGAAGGAGAGTCACACATGAGGCAAGACTGCAGGCAGCACTCACTCTGGGGTCAGAACGATCTAGTAAGTTCCATGCATTCAATCCGATCTCACAGAAACGCCTGCGGTGTCCTCAACACCATTTATTTATTTATTTATTTATTTATTTATTTATTTATTTATTTATTTATTTATCTCAATACCCTTTATTGATATTCACGTTGGCATTCCAGCCATGGTCCAGGTCTCTCTCACAGGACAGTTACTAGGTGCCTACATCTCCAACAGAGGGAAAGAAAGTACCTCAGAGAACAGAGCAATGGCCTCGTGTCAATCTGTGGGCACTTTTTATTTCAGTCATTTATGTACGACTGTGCTACGAATATTCAATTAATTTGCATTTTCTTCTAGAAAAAGAAATAGTCTTCCTTCCTTCCTTTCTTTTTGTTTTTGTTTTTTTTTTTTCAGGATAGGGGGGTTCTCTGTGTAACAGCTCTGGCTGTCCTGGAACTGGTTTTGTAAACCAGGCTGACTTTGAGCTCACACAGATCTTCCTGCCCCTACCTCCTGAGTGCTGGGATTAAAGGCCAGAGGAAAGCAGGGCTGGGGTGGGGGGAAGCATCTCATGAAAAGAAAACCACAGCCAGTATTGCATTAATTTTTGTGCAAAATTCCTACCAAATTGAATCCAATAGCATGCCTGAACAATGACCCTGGGCTACACACACACACACACACACACACACACACACACACACACACACACACACACACAACCAAGCCCCTATTTTGATAACAATAAACAACAACAAAAAAACCCAAACAAACAAAAATAAAACCCAGCTTTCCTTCAACTCTTGATCCTCCTGCCTCATCCTCCCAAGTGCTGGGATTACAGGTGTGTGCTGCTACACCTAACTATATTAGGTCAACTAAGAACATAAAAAACTGAGTATTTGTCATAAAGTGATAGCACATGTGCAGGGTTTTTGAGACCCTGGATTCCTTCCATAACATGTAAGAATCTACCCATAGATACAAAGATGATGTGAAGCTGGGCTCAGAGACCCAGGAGTGTACACCTAGCACCTGGGCATGGAGGCGGGAGGATCAGGAGTTCTAGCTCATCCTCTGCTATGTAGGAAGCTTGAAGGCAGCCTGGGCTACACCAGGCCCTGTCACTAAGTAACTACAACACAAACATAGTTGATTTTTTTTTTAAAGGAAAATTTATCATCCTTGAGCCCCAGTGAGAACTACAACATCTGAACTCACTTGGGTTCTGATGTTTGTACTTTCAGAGTTCCAGGGTTAGTTTTGGTCGTTCATTAGGCCTAATGACTGGGAATGACAAGCCAGATGCACTTACCATGTTGCATATGAGAGACCAAGGCAGATGGTCTTTAGGGTTTGATGTTTATCTGGTCTAAGGTCAGGTTCAGCTGCAGGAGCTGGGATGTTGTCAGAGGCTGACATTTCCTTAAGACTCCCTGTTTTTTTCCCTGCTGGTTGAGTTTTCCCAGATTTAGAGCCTTGCTGATTGGCTTTGTGGAAGAGCTGGTGGCAGCTGGAATGCTTAGGTATGGTGGCTGTCATGGCAGTGGTGGTGAATTTGTGGCAATGAGATTCAAGCAGAGGCAGTGTGGCTGCTATGAGCGACCACAGTATTTGGAGTTCTTGCTTGGCTGTGATTTTACCAAATGCTTCTCAATCTCTCCTTTTCTTTCTGGGGGAGACAGAGGCTGACCAGGCTAAGGTGAATGAGGTCCTCCCAACATGCAACCCTTGGCTGAGGGGAAAGGAAGCTGTAGGTCATCTAAGAAGGACATTGCACCCTCTGTAGGGATTTTCCTGTGCTGTCCCCGGGCCTCCTGGGTTCTGCACATATGCAAATTCTCTATTTCCAGTTCTTATGGTGGCATTGTGTACTGTGTTCAGTTTCCTGGCCCATTTAGGTGGTTTGGTTGAGACGGTCTTCCTTCTCTTCCTGGCTATGATTAGAAGCGGGGGTGTGACACCTGTGAGTGCTCTATGGAAAACAGAACTCCATCCATACTGCATGTGCTGGCCCAGCCACTGTACTCTCACCACAGAGTCTCTGTTTGTTTCTGTGCTTGGACTCCCACTTGCCCACTGATGCTCTCTGTGTGCGTCACCATGGCGTCTCAGCTCTCCTCACGTCTCATCACCAGGCTTCAGTATGGGGGCATGCTTATGATGCCTGCTGTGAAACCTTTTCCTGCTAAAGCCAACATTCAGATCTCTTGCAGGAAGTAGCTGGTTTTCACCGTTTCCTGGAGAGAAACATGGTGGGTGAATATTCTCAGAAGGTTTGTCACAGAGCCCAGTGGTGGCTGTTCACCACTTAGTGCCAATCACGAAAAGGACAAGGTTTGATGAAGAGAAAAAGTGTATTCGCTGGGCATAAAGACGGGAGAGCGGATGTCAAGTTCTCTGTAGTGGGCCAAGGAAGCGAGTGGCGGGAGGCAAAGGGGTCTGTGAAGTGGGGGAGGAAAGGGCTGAGAGGGTGATGCATCTGTGTGACATATTATCATGGCTCCTCTGAGGAGCAGGTTCAGAAGTCGGTAGCTACTTGCTATCAGAGTGTAGTTGGACTGTGCTATCCTGACATCACCAAGCCCATGTAAAGGATGAGTGTTTTCATCTGGCTTGAGATAGATGAAGGTGGTTTTTAAGCTTTCTGAAAAACAACTCAGATAGCCTGTGGTAACTTACTAGTTGCCATAGTAACCATGTCAGAAGTGTTGTCTGTGGCAAAGCTAAGGGAAACAGCCTCCTTAGCAACTGACCTCTGATCTCTCGATAAAAGCCAGAGGAACACCAGGGTTCCTGTAGCATCCCCAGTTCCCTGGGGTTTTCATGGTACATCCGAGTAACACTGGCTAGCACTGAGCATCCCAAACCTGCTACTGGTTTTGCTTGTTAGAGACTATTTTAATTAATTCACTCATCTCCCTGCATACATACTCAGGAAGGCGCAGCTCTGTGGACAGATGGTCTGGCGTTGGTGAGGAAGCCCTACCCAGAGCCAACTGTGGAGCTAGGCTCAGTAATTTCAGGTTGCTCCACTGTATCTCCAGTCTCTAGCCCACAGATGGTTCCATAACTGATTGATACAACTGGCTTTTTTGGGGAAGCTTCAAATTCACGTTGGCTGACCTCTCCACATCCCACATGGCTTCTTCCAGCCCTCCTAGTTTGAAGCTGTCTCCTGCAGACTGACCTATGAGAGCCTGTCTTCATTAAGGCACGCATTTCATCCAGGTGTCTTCTCCATGATCGGCACTATATTTTAGAGTGATCCTAGACATGGCTTTCTCTGTTCCGCTGCACATGGTGCCAGTGCCTTGGGACATGACAAGTTCTGTTTTCTAGATACTTCTCCCTCTAAGGAAGTCTGTGTGGGGCCTCTGGAGCTAGGGATGAGAGCTTTGGCAAGCTTCTCTGCAGTGATGGAGTCAGAACAGTTCCAATGACTGCTGTTGCCACTGGATGAAACCCATTACTCGTGAGACAGTAACTGGTAAAGAAGGAGGCTTTTGCCTCGGCCACGAACCCAAGAGTGAACCTTTCCTAGCAAATCAGCCTCTTGAGTAGGGAGTTAAGTTGCAAATATAGGGAAGGAAGAGAGAGAGCTTAAGACAGACTGACAGGGCAGCAAACCTCCAGTCGTTTCTGGTCATAGACAAAGATCTTCCCAGGCTCTAGTGGCCTTCTTTTCCTCCTGTTTACGATCTGGGTGTTTGTGGTCATGCTAGCTTGTGGGTATCTTCAACCTGAAGGTGTTTGTGGTCATGCTAGCTTATGGGTATCTTCAACCTGAAGGGTGGAATGAGTGACTAGGGAAGTCTAGGTCACATCAGCCCTACATTACAACCTTTCTTTTCTTATTTTCTTTTTTATTTTTTTGGTTTTTTGAGACAGGGTTTCTCTGTATTGTTTTGAAGGCAGGCGGATCTCTGTGAGTTCGAGGCCAGTCTGGTCTACAAGAGTTAGCTCCAAGACAGCCTTCAAAGCCACAGAGACACCCTGTCTTGAAAAACATATATATATATATATATATATATATATATATATATATATATAGTTAAGAAATACAGATTAATAGTCATTTATGATACTCAAGCTTGTGATCATGTTAGTTAAGTTTTCTAGATATATAGATATATAGTTCAAATAGATAGGTATTCTTCAAACCTTTCAAAGACCTACAGAATATAGCATTTAAAAATGATTTGTTAACTTTATGGCTTTTCATGACAATGAGACACATCTGATCCTGGCAGCACCAATTACTCCAAAGAGAAGGATGGGCATAAAAAAACTCATTACAGAGTTTGTCTTCAGTGTGATAAGACTAGTCATTTGGGTAAGTGTGGAGGGCCCCAAATAAGGATAGCATAATAGAAGCCATCTTTATATTGCTGCTGTATTCTTAGAGACTAACAGTTAAGTTTCTGTTTCTCTGTGCCTGTTTGTCTTCCTGTACAGCACATTTTCAAGGCCTGCAGTCCAGGCTTTCACGCACTTCTGCCACCTGGCCTGCCGTCCAGACTCCCCCAGCTGCAGACTTGTGTCCTTGGAACATACCCTGCCAAGGAGGACTTCTGCTCCCCCGCCCTTCTGCTACCTGCCTTCCTTAAGCCCTGTTGGTACTTTCAATAAATGAGACTTGATCAGAATCCTGTCTTGTCTCCATCTCTCCTGTCTCTTGTCCCCCCATTCTCAATCCCTCCCCTAGGGTCCCCATTGATTAACCCCGTGGGCCGGGGCAGATAAGAAACTGCCCTTGCCTAGACTGCTTGACTGTGTGCTGTATGAGCTGGACGTAGAGGACCCACAGGAGAGTGACTGCTAAACTTGCCAAGATAAGATGGGATGGTCCTTCAGGGTTCCTGCTCCACAGAGGAAACTGCCAGACATTCTGTAGGACACCCACAAAAAAGCAACTGCAAACTTTGTCAGTACAAGACAGAACAGATCTTCAAATTTCCTGGTTCATTAAAAAGTCTGCCAGAGCCAGGTGGTGGTGGCACAAACCTTTAATCCCAGCACTAAGGAGGCAGAAGCAGATCAGGCAGATCTCTGTGAGTTCGAGGCCAGACTGGTCTACAAGAGCTAGTTCTAGGACAGCCAGGGCTAAATAGAGAAACACTGTCTCGGGGGGAAAAAAAAGTCTGCCAGATACTATGGGACTATAAGCTGAAGATGGATACTTCAATGTTACAAAAAAACTTTGGGTTACTGTCCAGACAGCAAGATGTCTCTGTCAATTCTAGAGTTTTGGAAGTTGCTTACAATGCACTTCATGTTTACTTAGGTAATGTATCCTTCTGGGGTCTTTGATGGAGTTGAAGACAGATACTTATAGTTTTTCTCTCTCTTAGTTATTGACCCACTTCTATTAATCTGTGTATCTCCACTCTTGGCTTACCAGAAAATGCCCAGGCGTCCTGTCTTCCCGGTAGCTACAAAGTGTCTCTCCTGTCACTCATTCTCTGTGTTCCTCTTCCCAGCCTTCTTCTAGTCTGGTAGCATTGCTTATACTTCCTGCCTGGCTGCATCCTGTCTGTCAATTGGCTGAAACATCTTTATTCATCAGCCAATAAGAGAAACATATATTCACAGCATACAAAAGTTCATCCCCCATCATTAGCCATTGGCCAAACAATTATGAATACATATTAAGTCTCTGAGTGGTTATCTTATAAGCATCTGTGGGGACCTGGTGGCAGAAAGAAACCAGTCAGGTGGGACCGGGCTAGATGGGAAAAGTCTCCAACTAGAAAGGTTTGTCTGTGTAGCCCTGGTTTCCTGGAACTCACTAGACCAGGCTAGCCTCCATCTCACAGAGATCTTCCTGCCTTTGCCTCCCAGGTGTTGGGATTAAAGGTGTGCACCATCATTGTCTGGCTGAGTTGGAACAATTGTTTATGGTTCCTTGGCAGGAGCTGAATCTACCATGTAATTTCTCAAGGTTAACTCCATCCTCTCCAGTTTCCTTTCTGTTACACAAGGAAGACTATAACTATAACTATAAAGTATTAACTCCACCAGAGACCCGAGAAGGAAAATATAATACCCAAGTAAGAAGAACATGCAAGTGAATTCCAAACAATGTGAGAAAGACAGTGACAGCAGGCTGCCTGGACAGTCACCCGAGATTCCTCTGCAACATTGGGGCACCAATCTTTGGCCTACAAGCCTAGCATATCTGGCAGGCTTTTCTGTGAAGCAGGATATTCTGAAGGGTTGTCCTACCTTGTCTTGGCAAAGGTTGGTAGTCCTTTCTTTTGTGTCTTGCTTGTCCAATTTGGACAGCATACTTTCAGCAGTTGAGGCAAGAGCACTTTCTTGCCCAGTGGCTAACTTTTGCCACAAAGAATGTAAATTCCATGTGGAGTTTCTTCAATGCCCATCATCTTCTTTGAAGTATATTGGTGCTGCCAGGAGCAGACAAGTCTCATTGTCATAAAAACCAAACAAATAAACAAATGTATGTTATTAAAATATCTCAAATGCCACATTCTGCAGACCTCTGAAGTGTTTGAAGACCATCTGTCTACCTAAAATATATCTGTTTGGCCTTGAAAACATATCTGACATAACTACAAGTTCGATTGTAATAGGTGACTAACTACTAACCTGAATTTCCTTATTATCCTAAATAGTTGGTTGTAAAGGGAAGCTTTTCCTTGCTAGCCACTTTGGTTTATCCCCTGCCAGTTGCCTGGGCTCTGCCGCTTTGTAGTCCCCAAATAAACACACAAGACGCTGTATTAATTATGAAGCTGTTGGCCTTGCTTGTTTCTTACTGGCTAGCTCTGACTTAAGTAATTACCCCATAATTGTTAATCTAAGTATGTCTCTTACCGGAGAATAGTTCCAGTCACATGTTTAATGGCGGCATACAGACTTCCTCCTACAATTCCCCTTTTAGTCTAAAAAGGACAACTAACTTGTGTCCATGAACAAAATGTATCAAACATGTATTCTATCTACCTAAACTTATCTGAAAGAAACACCCAAATATGAACACCTCCTTCCAATCCCAACTCTAAAATAATTGAAAACTAGCACCAGATCTCATCATAGATGTTTTTGAGCCACCATGTAGTTGCTGGGAATTGAACTCAGGACCCTTGGAAGACCAGCCAGTGCTCTTAACCTATGAGCCATCTCTCCAGTCCCGCCTCTTGTTTTTGAATGTCTGTTTCTTTCCCTAATATTGGGGAAACTTCTGCTATAATTTTATTGAATAAGAATCCTTTAAAAAAACTTTTTTTTAAAATTTTACATGCATCGCTACTTTGCCTGCATGTATGTCTGCGTGAGGGTGTCAGAACCCTGAAACTGGAGTTGCAGACAGTTGTGAGCTGCCATGCGGGAGCTAGGAATTGAGCCATGGTCCGCTAAAAGAGCAGCCAGTGTTCTTTGGTTTTTTACGAGACAGGGTTTCTCTGTTTTGGAGGCTGTCGGTCTAGCCTGGCCTCGAACTCACAGAGATCCGCCTGCCTCTGCTTCCCGAGTGCTGGGATTAAAGGCGTGCGCCACCAACGCCCGGCAAGCAGCCAGTGTTCTTAACCGCTGAGCCATTTCTCCAGGCCCGGATAAAAATCCTTCTACCCTATAGATTCTTGGGTTTACTCTTGATCATATTTCAAAGTTCTTGAAAGTTGTGGTCATGCTCCCCTCCTCCACTGATTATTTCAATGTATATTACTTTGACCTTATATTCAATTCCTGATATTTCTTCTTCTATTTGATCTAATATGCTATTGCTTTCTAATCACTAGTGATATTTTTTTATTTGATTCATTTTTTTCCTAACATTTCTATGGTTTTCTCCACATTTTTTTCTGGCTCTTGTAGTTTCTCATCCATGCTTTTGACTTTCTTTCCCAAGGTTGCTTCTCTTTGAGTTCATTGTGATTAGGTCATGAGTTCTTTGACATTTTAATTTTTTATTTGGCTATTGAAGTGTTATGATATGCTGGAGGAGCTGGAGGAGTTATGTTGTCTTGATTGTCCATCTTTCATGTGCTTCCGTGTTGTGATTTCCGCATCTGTGAAGATCTACAATGTAAATCACTTCTGGTTTTGCCCAAGCATCTTCTTAGTGAGCCTCTTTTGGGGGCTATGGTGGTGCTCAGTGAAAGCGTGGCATTTAAGAAGGAGAAACAAACAGTTGATCAACAACCACATCAAACCAAACAGATACAGAAGCACAATTAAAAGTTATTAAAGTCAATCACTCCTTGTCTTAGTTACTGTTCTATTTCTGTGAAAAGACACCATCACCAAGGCAACTTATGAAAGAAAGCGTTTAATTGGGGCCTCTGGCATAATTCTAGGAGGTGAGCCCTTGACTATAAAGGTGGAGATCATGGCAGCAGGCAGGTCTGGCACAGGAGCAGTAGGTGAGAGCTTACATCCTGACCCTCAAGTTGAAGGGGGAAGAGCCAGAAACTGGGCCTGTCATGGGCTTTTGAAACCCCAAAGTCGACTCCCCAGTAACACACATCCCCCAAGAAGGTTATACCTCCAGTCCTCCCCAGGTGAATGAAAATGGGGACATGACTGTTCCGAGGTGTGGGTAAGGAGGAGGTTTTATTGTAGATGTTAAGGAGAGGGCAGCCAGAGGCACCTGGAAGAGTCTAGATGGGGCTGGACCATGAGAGGAGAAAGAGGGGGTAGCATGAGAGAGGAAGAGAAAAACAGAGGGAAGAAGAAAGAGGACAAATGGACAAAGAGAGACCCAGAAACGGGGCCAAGAGAAGAACCTAGAGAACACATGGCCAGAACATCTGGGCTTTGTAGGAAAGAGAAGCTGGGGAAGGGAAATGAAACTAGGGACTGCAGAGGTCTAGGTTAGGGGCCAGGGAATGTCAGCCAGGATGTCTCTGTACAGGTGCTTGAGGGTAGGGAGCTCAGAGGCTAGCATAGACCTTGCTATGCAATAGACACCACAGCCATAGGTTAATGGAGGAGCCGTCTGTCCCTTTTGCCAGAGATAAGGAGAATGATTCCTCGAGCAGGTGGGATCAAGTCCCTGAGGGAATGCTGGCTTTTGTCTAAATGTAGACTTGGGGAAGAGGACCATCATGGGACCTAACACAACCTAAGGAAGAAAGGGTTTGCTTGGCTCACAGGCTGCAGGCCATCCTGGTGGAGAAGGCCTGGCAGCTGGAGTGCAAGGCAGCTGGTCGCATTTACTGCTAGGCAGGAAGCCCAGTGGTGGCGGCCTGTGATCTCTCTCATTCATATGCAGTCTGGGACTCCAGCGTGTAGAATGGTGCCTAAGGAGGATCTTCTCTTGTCCGTCAAACCAATGAACTCCACAGGTATGCCCAGGCACCCAAGGGAGATCGTAAATTCAGTCAAGCTGACAGTGAAGATTAACCATCAGACATATTGTTCAGGCTGATGCTGAGCCCAGATTCCCTGAGGGTCAGAGCAGGGTTCACTGTAGGTTTGTAATTTCCTTGCCTTTTGGGGGAGGTGGTGGATCACGGGGACGCACGTCCTAGTGGGCAGTGCTCAGTTTACTGTGGATGTGGCCTGCAGAGGACTGCGGAGCACTGACCTTTGCTGGAGTTTGCTCCACTCTGTGTTCTCCTGCATTTCACCACCCTAGCTGTGGGGATCACAGACCCTGGCCGGAAACCCACCCCTCCGTCAGCCTGGGAGCAGGCAGCTGTGAGACAATGTTTACTGAAAACATGTTTACTGAAAACAATTCAGTACCATAAGCTCCTGATAAGGGCTCCGATAAGGGCTTGCTCACTGAAACACCATGACTTTGATCTTCCCGACGGCTAGCTACTCCTTGCTGTTCCAGATTCTGGTGCCAGAGATTTAACCACCAGCCAGGAGGAAAGAGGGGGCTGTGAGAGGTCTGTGAGAGGGCTGTGAGAGGGCTGTTGGAGATTTGTGCCTGTATGGATGGCAGACATTTTTCTGAAGGGAAGCGTTTTTCTTGGGAAGTTCTCCTAAGCTGATTTGGGGAGCATAAAGTTTTCTTAACACAATCGACCGGTCTCTGTGTCATCAATCCTCGCCACATTCTCGGATACAGGCTGCGCAGGAGGCGCAACACCTAGCCAGATCCCCCAAAGCAAACGCTTATCTTGGATGGAACTTCAGGACCGTAACCAAAATAAACCACTTTTTTTCATTAGTTAATGGTCTCAGATATTTTGATATAGGGAAATGTAGCAGAATTTTGCTGGCCTGGCACCAGAATGATAGCACCTGGCCTTAATCCTTACTGGGCAGTCCCTGGCCTAGCTCTGGAGAGTTAGCCCCTAGTCCTAATTCATCCTTTGTTGGGCAGACCCCTCCCTTCACCGTGTGAACTTTGTTTGGGAGTTTCCCAAGGATACAAAGCCTAATGCAAAACTTGGTTCAGGAAATCTGGAAAATTTTGGTATTCTACGCTTGGCACTGTCTTTTTGGAAGCCTCATTCAGCTTGTTCTGAGTATATGGCAATCAACTGGCTAAAGTGTAAAAACTGAGAAAAATAAAAATGCCCTGGAGCCAGGGGAAAGAAAGGCTTCAGTCCATCAAGGCTGAAGACTTGTGCAGCCTCAAAAGGCTAAGTTCACTCTTTTTTAAGATTTATTTATTGTGAGTACAACATTCTGCCTCCATGCCAGAAGAGGGCACCAAATCTCATTATAGATGGTTGTGCACTGCCATCTGGTAGGAATTGAACTTAAGACCTCTGGAAGAGCAGTCAGTGCTCTTAACCTCTGAACCATCTCTCCAGACAGTTCATTCATAAGTGTCTCTGAGTCTTCTTTCCACGGACCTGTATGAACCCACACCCAAACTGTGATATCTGAGACAGGAACAGAAGACTGACCAATTCAAGTGTGTGCATGCCTTTCTGCACTAGTAATGCCTACCTACAGGTCGTATCTTACAGCTTTGGCTTATTATATTCCAGCTATATTAGTTGGGAGATTTTTCTCTCACTTCATTGTTTACAGGGTCATAAACAGTTTACATGCAATTCAAATTTTCATTTGTTTTTGGTTGTTACTGTAATAGCTGGCATATGGAAATCTACTGATATTTATGTTTTTAATCTATCTACTTACTGTTGTCTTTTTTGAATGTTAATCTCACTTTGGTCTAGAACATCCTATGGCAGATGTACTTACATCATGCATTTAGTGTATGCATTTTATTTTACTTGAAACAGAAGATAACCATTTTAATATGTTGTGACAAGGTTGCATTTGCCAAAGTCAACTAGCTTTTACTGTTTATTTTGGTCTTCTATATCCTTACAGCTAGTGGCCTTTTCTCAGGTTGTTTCTGTGTAGTTTTGCATGATTTGTATTCAGCGTGTGGAGTTTCTCTGTGGTTTTGTCAGTTCCTGTTAGTCTGTTCTATGCTCTGAGGCTAGAAAACCTTTCAATGGGGTGTGTCAGGAATTTACAGTGAACATAATTGCAGGTGTATTTGAGTTTCATTCTGCTCTTTCATTGTTTGTTTACTGTGACAATTAGGCTTTGTTTCCTAAGTGTGTTTCAGTTAGCTGTTGTTCAGAGCTACATAGCCGCAGAGGGGAAGTCATGCGTGCTTTCCCTGTGGGGAATAGCCAGGGTTGGGTGGGAGAGGGACTGATGTGGGTTGGAGGGGTGTCATGTTTTAGCTCAGGCCTGCTGTGGGAAAAGCCAGCTTCCTTTTTATTTCCGACAAGGGTGACTCAAAAGATGAGCCTTACCCAAAAAATCCTTTCCAGTCTCTGCTCACTTCACATTTATTGATTCTCTTGTGTCCCTGTAGTCAGAACCAAGGCAGAACAGAGAACAGTTGAGGGCAGCCTCGGTAGGGAGAGTCTGGTGAGGGCTGGGGAAGGCATGCTGGTGACTGGCTTGGGCTTAAGACTGATGCCAGCCAACCTACTCTGTGGTTACCTGTTTTCTTTAGATTTTGATCCCTTGCCAGTCACTTTCCAAGAATGAAGGACATCTCCTAGGGAGAACCTTGGGCTTTGCTACCCCCAGAATGACCTGTTCCTGGGCTTACACCCCACTAAGATGATGCCCTGACTCCCCTTACTCTGGAAGATGGTGGGAATCAATTTGGACCCCACCAGCTTTTGAGGAGTGTTGACCCCTCATCCATCCTGCCATGCACTGAAATTTGAAGTTACTGAATCGATTAAACTGGCAAGCGATTTGTTGTGTCTTTCGCCACAAAAGAACTTATTCCCCCTTCCTTCCTTCCTTCCTTCCTTCCTTCCTTCCTTCCTTCCTTCCTTCCTTCCTTCCTTCCTTCCTTTATTTCTTTCTTTTTTCTTTTTCATTTTTTTTTTTTGAAACAGGGCTTTCCTGTGTAGTCCTGGCTGTCGTTGAACTCTCCATGTAGACCAGGCTGGCTTTGAACTTAGAGTTCCACCTGCCTCTGCCTCCCAAGTGCTGGAATTAAAGGCATGCATCACCATATCTTGCTTCTTATTTTGATTCTCTCTCTCTCTCTCTCTCTTTGGTTTTTATGAGACAGGGTTTCTCTGTGTTGTTTTGGTGGAGGCTGTCGGACCAGCCCGGCCTCGAACTCACAGAGATCTGCCTGCCTCTGCCTCCTGAGTGCTGGGATTAAAGGCGTGCTTATTTTGATTCTCTTAAAAAATGAGTTTTTAGATTTATTTTTATCTTGTGTGTATGGTTGTTTTGCTTGCACTGTATGTCTGTTTACCATGTGCCTGTTCGGTGCCCAGTGAGGCCAGGGATGGTGTTGGATCTCCTAGAACTGGAGTTACAGATGGTTGTGAGCTGTCATGTAGGCCTGGGAATTGAACTCAGGTCTTGTGGAAGAGCAACAAATGCTCTTAACCCCTGAGTCATCTCTCTAGCCCTTAGCTCAGTAAGCTCTCTCACTGGTTCGGTGGGGTAGGTTTGGAGTTCCCCATATTGCAATCTCATGCAGGCTTCACTTTAATTATGGTTGTCTCACAACTGGCAGGAAAACATCTGCCTTCCAGGAACTCTCAGGCTTCAGCCAAGTAACTGGAATTTTCCAGTCTCCCAACATAGACCCTCTTCAGTCAGTCAGGAGCATCCAGACCCTGAGCTGGAAGATCCTCCTTTCCCTAACATACAAGGAGCAGCAACTCCTCCTCAACCCATACCTGTGGCAGATCAACCCAGGAGAGGCCATGAGTTTCAGTACAGACAGCTCCCACAGTGAGTGCAGGCTTAGGGGTGCTCTGGGGGTGGCTGTATGGAGCCTGTCTAGCTGTTGACCAGCTTCAGCATGGAGGAGACTCTCATACCAGGGGATAGTCCCAGGACCCCCACATTAAATAGGAGGTGGGGGCCCTGGGACAAGTTCTGACCTGAGTGCCTACACAAGAAGATCCCCAGACTCTCCCCCCTTCCTGCTATTCTGCTGTGAAATAATTTGGCCCTTGGTTACTTAATTGTCTCTCCTGAGTATCTAGCTATTTCCCATAAAGCCAAAATTCAGGATCAGGAAATTTCTGGGACATAAAAAGTACTGGAGAATGACTGGCCTAGGAAACAGAGCTCCTAAATGCAGAGGGTGGTGTACCATCACACTTTGGAAGCCTGCCTTATGTTTTTCCTCTCACTCTGCTGGGCCTCAAGGGAGGCTGGGTAACTAGACCCCTCATGGGTGGTTATACTACCCCGCTGGGCTGATTGACTCTGCCAGTCAGGGGTGGAAGACAAGTTTGGGTCCTGGACAAGTAAGGGGCTCTGTCCCTCTGCACCAAGTATCCCCCACCCCTTCCTGTTAACGCTGGCCTGTTCCCTGGCTGAATCCACTGCAGCACTTCTCACATTGGATACATTTAAAAACCAACATGGTGGCTTAGGAGGAAAAGAACTGCAGAGTGTGAGAGCAAGTTCTGCAGACTCGGGGAAAGGCTGGGTAGACGCCTTGAGAGGGCACCATGGAGATGAAGAACAGGCAGCATTGCTCTGGGGACTCCAAGAGACTTGCAAACTTGAGGCGCAAGTGTGAATGTGGCTGCCACTACACATGAGTCTGGTCTGTGGCAAGATCCACTTGGGGAGGGTGAGAGGCCCCTCTGCATAAGGATGCTATTGCACAACCAAGGTTAGGGGGAGCTAGGATGTCCAGACTCCCCATAAACTTGCAGAATTTCCTTTGGGTTTTCTGCCTACTGATCACCAAATCAAATAACAAGAGTGTTGTGTGGCCCCCATCCTAAACGGCTCACCCTAGAATCTGAAATAAACACATACTGCTGCTGGAAGTCAGAAGGTGGAAGAAGGGGAGGAGATGACGAGTTTCCATCAGAGAACCCAGTGTGTCATGATGGGCTCAGACCAGAAGCCTAGAACCTCAACTCAGAGGTCTACATAGAACCCTGAGATGCGGCTTGTCTGGGGACGTGGATAGGAACCTCAGCTGGTAACACGTCAGTGGACTGGACACTCCCTGGGTCATTGTTCTCGGTCCTTTCTGGGCATTCTGGACGCAGGAGTCAGAAGTGGGCAAGGCTCATCAGCCCTCAAACACACACACAGAAGTCTGGTCAACTGTTGCCCTCTACAGGTGACCAGAAACCTGCCAAGTTGAGGATGTCCTGCAGGTCTCAGCCTGGGAAGATACATGATGAGCTCAGATCAATATTAGGTCAGGAACAGAGAGTCACAGCACAGTCGTCAGCACACGCACTTTATTGAATCCACTGTGAACAGATGTGTGAGTTAACAATCACATATGTGTGGGTAAAGGGTCAGGACAAAGCCTAGGGTGTGGTGCAGCTGTGGATAGTGGAACACGGGCGGCACTAGAAGGCTCTGGAATTTGCTATCATCCGCGACAAGACGATGGCATAGACAATGATGATGACAATGGCCATGAGGATACTGAGGACCACAGCGCTGATGTTGAGGCACTTGGCAGTGGAGGCGTAGGCCTTTGCCCCAGTCACATCACCCACCATCTTCCTGTCCCTAGACTGGAGGAAACCAGACAGTCAGAGGCCCTGGAGTCCGTCAAATGACAGACAAGTGTTCTGACTCAGTTCCCCCATCATCTCCCCAGCACCCTCTTTACTTTTCAGGCCAGGGAACTAGCTCCACTTTCACACACTCAAGACTATCCAGAGAGACCCAGAGCCAGCCACCCACCCCACTGTTTCCTATGAGTTCCCTGTACACTTCCTACCCAGCTTGGAGTCCTAGTCTTCAGGGTCAAGGGACATTCCAGGCACCAGGAAGTCTCTAGGCTATGATGGAGATGCACTGTCCCAGGGATCTCCAGGCACCCCCTTATGGCTACCTGGATATGCCCCAACACACACACACACACACACACACACACACACACACACACACACACACACGAAAGATGATACATATCAACTCTCACGCTGATCCACGACTCCCCCCCACTCCCCAGGTACCATTGGAGCAAGTCAAACTTGAGGTTCACATACAATACCTTCACAGAGTAGGCGTATGCTATGAAACCCAGGCAGCAGAAGTTCATGAAGAGTGTATTGAACATGGACCAGACCACATGATCAGGCAGGGAGACCTCACCAGGCATGTTGATTATGGTGGTTGTTGCAGAAGTTGGGATGTGGGGTCCCTCCGGCACAGCCGCCTCTTGGTGCTCCTTAGGCATCTCTTGCCTTTTGAGGCTATTAAGGCTGTGGAAAAAGAAGGGCTGGGAAATGTGGCTCAGACTGCAAAGTCTGAAGGTTGCTGCCTAGTGGGCCCGCCTTCTCTCCAGTGGAGTCTGTTTCTCGGAAAACTGCTTCATTATGTTTGTAAACTGGTATGTTTTCTAGGGACTGGGGAGTTAAGAACAAATAATTGTTTCAAGTTACCACAGGGGGTGTGTTCCGGGAGAGCCATTCCTAGGCCTTTTCAAGCTGTCCAAACCCTGAAACCCCAGAGGCGGGAGGGTCGGCAGTTCACCCTCCACTGGGGAGAAGAAATGACATCAGTGATCCCGAGTATGTGGGTTACAGTTAGCAGATGGGAGCGGCATGATCATCCTTAGTGTGCCTTCAGGAATGATGACTTTCTCGTATGTTTGTTTGTGACAGATGATGGGGCATAACTTGTCAGAGAGTCTATCATCTATTTTCTATACAACCAGGGCTGAGAGCTCAGGGTTCTCTGTTTTCATTTAATCTGCTTTTGCCTTTGTGGGACACTCATTCTAGAAAGCTGAAGTTGAAAGAAAAACAAAGGCTTATAGGACTGGATTTCCCCAGAGATGACTGCACCCTGAATTCTAGCTAAAGCAGCTGCAAGTGGTAAAAAAAAAAAAGGGAGGGAAGGCATAAGAACGACTTACAGGCTGTGGTCCCAGGAGTCCAACGGTGGCTTTCTCCTGATCTCCGAGGATCCAGTAGTTGTCCACAAGACCAGCTGTGTCAGCCGTCTGAATTTGGTGCTAGAGTCCCAGGGAGGTCTAGAGAGCTATGTTGGAATCCTAAAGAAGTAGGTTCTGTACCAGTAAAGGAATGCCCCAGGAACAGGAGAGATGAACTTGCCGGTGAGAGTGAGGGCAAGCAGGCAAAAGGCAAAGCTCCCTTCTTCCTTTTATGTAGGCTAACATCAGAAGGTGTGGGCCAGATTTAGGGTGGATCTTCTGACCTCAAATAATTCTACCAAAAAAAAAAATGCCCTCCTGCTTGGGTTTTAGTTAATTCTAGATGCAGTCAAGTTGATAAGCAACATTAGTCATCACGGCACACATGAACCTTCTCGAATATACTGGCATCAGGATGGCACAAGTGACTCAAGTCCCCACTGAGTGCTGAGTGGCATCGCCTTACCTCCTTAACGCACTTAAAAGATAGGAAGCAACAGAGCCCCCCATCCTTCCAAATCTCCACGATGTTTCCCTTTTCCTCTGAAGGTGGTGGCGCATGCCTTTAATCCCAGCACTCAGGAGGCAGAGGCAGAGGCAGGCAGATCTCTGTGAGTTTGAGACCAGCCTGGTCTACAAGAGCTAGTTCAAGGACAGCCTCCAAAGCCACAGAGAAACCCTGTCTTGAACCCCCCCCAAAAAAAAGCCCCTAATAAAAACCTTGTCTGAGAACTTCCTTCTGCCTTCATGTTCATTTCTACCTCTGATGACCCTGGAATCTGCAGCAACCTGATTTAAACTTTTCAAAGTCATTCCACTTCATTTTTACTTACAATTGGCATTTCAGATGTAACAGATGACTGGCATCTAATATCACCTTCTGGAAATCACATCTACATAAAACCTGTAAAGTGGGCCAGCCGGAAGTCCAAGAGGAGCACCTCAAAATCTTCAGGTGATGAAAAGCATGTGGGGGACAGCAGAGCCTTCAGGCCAGGCCAGAGGATGTTGGGGCACAAGAGGCGAAGCTGCAGGCAGGGCTCCAGCAGCTGGCTTATGCTGATCGGCCGCTCCCAGGCAACACCGCCATCATCTTTGTTTGGGTTTGATCATGTGCCAAGAATGAGGAGCCAAAGGCCCAGGGTTTTAGTTAGGGTGTCTACTGCTGCTAAGAGAAACCGTGACCACAACAACTCTTATAAAGAAAACATTAATCGTGGTGGCTCGTTTACAGTTCAGAGGGTCAGTCCATTGTCATCATGGTGAGACATGGTGGCGTACAGGCAGATGTGATGTTGGAGAAGGTGCCGAGAGTCCTACACCTTGCAGGCAACAGAAAACGGTCTGAGACACTGGGAGTAGCTTCAGTATAGGAGAACTCAAAGCCTACCCCCACAGCCACACACTTCCTCTGACAAAACCACACGTTCTAATAGTGTCACCCCCTTTGGGGAACAACTCTATTTCAAGCCACCACACAGGGATAAAAAGTATTTATCAGACTGGAGTCTAGATGTAAAGATTCAATAAAGAACAAGTACTGGGGTTGGAGAAAAGGCCCAGCAGTCTTGCAGAGGACTTAAGTTTGATTCCCAGCACCTATGTCAGGAAGCTCACAATAGGATCTGATGCCCCCTTCTGACATCCTTAGGTACTGCAGTCAGTATACACTTAAAAAAAAAATAAAATCTTTAGGGCTGGAGAGATGGCTCAGAGGTTAAGAGAGCTGGCTGCTCTTCCAGGGGACCTTGTTTCAAGTCCCAGTACCCACATGGCAACTCTTTGTAATATCAGTTCCATGAGCTCTGACACTCCCTTGGCCCTCCGTGAGTACCAGGCATATGTATGGTTCACAGACACAGGCAAGACACCCGTTTTCATGAAATAAAATAATCTTTAAAAGTTAAAGAATAAAAATTTAAGCTGGTGTTGGTGGCACACGCCTTTAATCCCGGCACTTGGGAGGCAGAGGCAGGCGGATCTCTGTGAGCTCGAGGCCAGCCTGGTCTACAGAGTGAGTTCCAGGACAGCCTCCAAAACAATACAGAGAAACCCTGTCTCAAAAAACAAAAACAAAAACAAACAAACAAAAGAATAAAAATTTAAAAGATGAGCTGTTTTTTAAAGAAAGAGAATACACTGTAACAATGACAAAATCACAGCAGGTAAATCATCAGATGCATGTCCCTGAGAGACAACGGGAATTCTTTCATAACAGTTGATGAAGCAACACAGGGTTGGCAGTGGCAGTCAATCCAGGTGAATCTACATTGAGGACTCTCTTCTCTCACGTTTCCTTTTTGCCTCCCCATCACCTTCTGTCCTGACATTTGCTCCTGCTGCTCTCCAGAGGAAGAGGGAACCGAGCACGTGACTGGTCCTTCTGCCTGCCATGTCCCCCTCGTCCCCACCACACTTCCTCACCTGAGAGAACTATGGGTCACCAGGTTTTCAGTTCCTCCCTCACAACTGATATGTGGTACTTTGGATCTGTGAGTATCCCTTTGAGGGATAATTTCCAACAGGACTAACATGGCTCTTACCCTGGCCAGCAGGGCACAACGACGGTCTAGCCCAGGGGAACCTGGAATGAGGGGACAGGAGACAAGAGAAACAGACAGTAAGACAACGCGGCTGATCAAGCTGCATTTAATGAGAATTTTGTACAGGCTTATATAGGGGAAATGAGATAGGGGTCGTTGCCTAGTAACCAGGCCACTGAAGGTGAGCAGCTAATAGGTGTTGGCAAGGTGATAGGGTCGCAGAGGGAGGGGTTAAGTGATCTAATTGTGGAATGTTTCCTTTCTTGCCATCGGCTAGTCCTGTGAGCCCAAGTTCTATTCATTAGGAAGCTGGGGAGGGGATGGACTATTCTTAAAAAGGCTGGCAATATTTACAAGAGGTTCTAAATAACAATGATCGCTCCCGACAGGCTCTGGGGTGATTGTTTTACCTCTGTGAGCTGATGGAGTCCTTATTTTCAGGAGACACCCTAGTCTAAGGAACATCTCAGCCAAGCCAATGCACTGAGACTACATCTCACCACTGAAAGCATCAGGAGGTGGTACCCACTGCCTTTTAGAGATGCCTCTAAGGTGAGCATCCATGGATCTACTCTCCATGTCCCCAACTCACCTCTGGGATGCATTCTCAATAACTGATCTAAATTTGATCTTCAGACCCTATCTTTAATAGGGATGCCATTTAGGCCTTACTGGATTCTCTGATATTCACCTATTATCCTTCTCAAATTCAGCCCTGTATGACATCCATGATGACTCCTCCTTTGGACACATTCCACATGTCTAATACCAGTCACCCCTCCACCTGCCAACTCTGTTCCTTCCTCCCCATCTCTGACTTTTCTCTCTTCCCAGTCTCCTATCTTCCCACGTGTAGAACTCTTCCCAATTGCTCCCCGTCCTTGTCCACATACACACACTCTCATTCTGGGGTGGCTAATGAAAGCCTTAGCGTCGCCCAGGTACATGCTCCCTTCCCATTATCTCACCGTGTTCCAACCCACCATCACTGATCCCAGTTGCAAGTCTCCTGTCCATGTTGTACCATCAACCTCACCTCCTTCTCTTTTCTTACCCTTCTGCCACCTGGGAAAAAGCAGCAGTTTGTTGTACCCCAGTTCTTCAGGGGAGCAGATGTCTTTCGTATTCTAACTTATAATTACAGAGTTAACATACAAGAATTTTTGGCACACTGTGTCTTCCCTTCTGCCTTTCCACTAAGTTCTAAGTTTACCATCCAAGGAAACGGTAAACTTTATTATCTTGACCATCTCTTGCTGGAATGTAACTGTTAGACTCTTGGGGGACCAAGAAGAGAAAATATAAAAGGACTTAAAATATCTATACCTATACCTATCTACACACACACACACACACACACACACACACACACACACACACACATTCAAGCAGCTATACAGCCTGCCTAGAACCAGGAACAGACAAGCACATTACAGTTTCACAACATATAGACAGGTAATTAAGTTATTTCATTGTTAGAGTTTGAGACCATCGGGAAAAGAAAAAATCTCAGTCTCAATTCAGATTGTAATTAACCAAATTGATTGAAGCTGCTAGCAGGGCTATAGTCTCTAAACTAGAAGCCAGTGAAAGCAGGGCTTTTAAAGGTGAAGACCACAGGAAGTCCTTGTTATCTGCACAAGTAATTGACCACAGCCAACAAGCCATTCTGCTGTGCCAAGATTAGGCAGCCAGGTGACCTTAAAATAGTCATTGAATGCCGGGCAGTGGTGGCTCATGCCTTTAATCCCAGCACTTGGGAGGCAGAGGCAGACCAGCCGGTTCTATAAGAGCCTCCAAAGCCACAGAGAAACCCTGCCTCGAACCCCCGTCCCCCGTCCCCCAAAATAGTCACTGAATATCTGCATAAGTGGGTTATAGAAGCCAAAATCAGTAGTTAGTTGTTGCACCCTTCCCCCATGGGGGCCTGTTGACTGCTTGTTACTAGAGGCTTTTAGCAAAACATCTCTTATCCCCTCCTCCCAGTAAGGCCTGCATGCAAGTTCCTGTTTTTTGTCTAAAAGCTAATTCCTGTTTTGGCCCACCCTTTGCTGGAGGGCCCTGGGAAGGTAGCCTTCTGACCTTGATGTTTTTCCACCATACCTGCCTTTGGTATATAAGGCTCCACCCTTGTAATAATAAAGGCCAGTTTTTTCTTGCAAGAATGAGCCGTTGTCTTTGTCTTTATCCTTAGCCCTTAGCCTCGGATCATTGTGAAGTGTGGTAGCACTGTAGCTGTGAACACATCTGCAGCTCGCTACAGATGGAGGTCCCACCGAGATTGGAAAAGAAGAAAAACTGAATGCTGGCTGGCAAGTAAGGTAGGAGGGTGTATTTGGGTAGGGGTACCAAGTTTAGGGTACTGAGTTAGGCCCCAGATGGTGGGTCAGCCCCCATAGAGGGGTGATTTAAAAGGTTAGGCCCTAGAAGGTGGGTCAGCCCCCATAGAGGGGTGATTTAAAAGGTTAGGCCCTAGAAGGTGGGTCAGCCCCCATAGAGTTAGGCCCCCATAGAGTTAGGCTCCAGCCCTAACTTAACCCATTGGTATCAAAATTGTCAGGGAATTCCTGAGAGCCCACCCCCACAGAAAGCCAGCCAGCATTCTTTTCTTTTTTTTTTTTTTTTTTTTTTTTTTTTTTGGTTTTTTGAGACAGGGTTTCTCTGTATTGTTTTGGAGACTGTCCTGAAACTCGCTTTGTAGACCAGGCTGGCCTCGAACTCACAGAGATCCGCCTGCCTCTGCCTCCCGAGTGCTGGGATTAAAGGCATGCGCCACCAACGCCCAGCGCCAGCATTCTTCTTAAGGTTAGGAGTGAGTATATTAGGTATGGGTGCTGCTGGTTCCTACCCTGTTTTGGAGGACCATTTGATACAATTGTTAGAATGCCAGGGCACAATTATCAGACATAAGACAGCTAAAAACTTCTTAAAAACCATACATAAAGTCAGCCCTTGGTTTTTGGTCTCTGGTGATCTTAATTCCCTTGATTGGAACCAAGTTAAAATGGACCTACAAAGAACTTTACATAACGAAGGGCCAAATGCCATACCAATTGTTGTCTTTTCTCTGCGGCATCTTGTTAAGGGTGCACGTGTTAGTGGTAATACTGTAATAAAGGAACAGGTCAGGAAGACTAGGGATGCCTTCACAGAGGCTCAAGACCTGGAGTCTGACAGAACAATTCAAACTTCCAGTGTTTCCCCTTCTGAGTCCTCTCGCTCTTCTTCAGGGGATGAAACTGAGGAACTTAGATCAATTCAAACTTCTAATGTTTCTTCCTCTGAGTCTTCTCCAGTCTCTTCGGGGGAGGAGATGGAGGAAGGTGAAGAGCCTCGCCCTGGGAAAGGCTTCCTCAAATTAAAAAACAAGTTTAAAAAATGTTCCCTTGAGCCGCGTCCCCCTGCCTGTAATCCTGAACATTCCAGTTCTCTCTGTCTTCCTTCAGTCCCTCCTGAAATGCAGAAGGGCAGAGTGATGTTTCCAGTGGTAGAGACAGTTAATCCTCAAGGCCAGAATCAGAGAGAACACTCCCTTCTTAACTTTAAGGATATAAAACAGTTGAAGGAGGCGGTTATGGCATATGGGCCTCATGCCCCTTTCACTCTGGCCATTTTTGAATCCTTTTCAGCCTTAAATTGTACCCCCAGTGATTGGCAACAATTATGTCGTGCTACGCTGTCTGGGGGAGATTATTTGATCTGGAGGGGTGAATACCAAGAACTGTGTAACCAGACGGCACAGAGCAATGCGGCTGCCGGTTTTCCTGATAGGAATTTAGAAATGCTTACCGGCACAGGAGCCTATTCAACTCTGGGCCAGCAAATTCTTTACGACCCAGCTGTTTATGCACAGATCTCAGCAGCCGCTGGCCGTGCATGGAAAGCCTTGCCTAATAAGGCTGCAGGAGACCAATTTTCTAAGATCCTACAGGGACCATCTGAACCCTATTCTGAGTTTGTGGACCCGCTCCTACAACTTGCAGGTCGTATATTTGGGGATATTGAAAATGTTATGCCTTTAGTAAGACAATTAGCTTTTGAAACTGCTAACAAATACTGTAAGGATGCTTTACGGCCTCACAAAACCAGGAGCCTCAATGATTATATTCGCATTTGTAGAGATATAGATGGATATCATATTATGGGACAAGTTATTGCTGCTGCTATGCAGGGAAGAAATAGAAATATCAGTGAGGGGCCAGACCTAAGATATGTTTCAGATGCAAGCAAACAGGCCACTTTTAGAAAAATTGTCCTGCTAAGGACTCTGTTACACCCCCTCGTTCAGAGCCAAGTCTTTGCCCCCTCTGTAAAAGAGGATATCATTGGGCCAGAAATTGTCGATCTAAGACTGCTGCACAGGGCTACTCTCTGCCACCTTCGGGAAATGGGAATTGGGGTCCGCTCCGGACCCCTTACTCCCAGGTGTAGGGAGCCCTAGATACACCTGTTCCCCACCCTATTCAGGTCCTACCTCAGAGGAACCCCTTTGTATCCAGGACCTTGTCAGAGGTACCCCAGGTAGCACAGGACTGGACCTCTGTTCCTCCACCAAAGCAATTTTGACTCCTCAGATGGGACCCCAAGCTTTGGGCACGGGAGTCAAAGGCCTTTTACCACCAGGTTCAATTGGGCTGATTTTTAGGGAGGAGTAGCGCTCTACTTAAAGAAGTTAAAGTCATTCCGGGAGTTATTGATGAAGATACAAAAGGAGAGATCAAAATTATGGTAGAAGCTGGCAAGGGAGTCACTGTTATACCCCAAGGAGCTAGAATTGCTCAATTAATTTTGTCCCCTAAGTTTACAACTAATAATCCCTTCCTTAAGCCTGTAAGAGGAGAAGGGGGGTTTGGATCTACAGGACCTATGGCTTGTTGGGTGTCCACTATGGAGTCCAGACCAATGATGGCCCTTACTATTGAGGGGCGGGCCTTTCATGGTCTTTTAGACTCGGGCGCAGACACATCTGTCATTTCTCTTAACCATTAGCCACAGGCTTGGCCCCTGCAAGAGTCAGATAGCAGTTTACAGGGCATAGGCATAGCAAAGTCACCTAGTAAAAGTTCCCGTCTAGTAACTTGGAAAGATGGTGAGGGACACTCTGGTATATTTCAGCCCTTTATCTTGCCTCACATTCCAACCAATCTCTGGGGCAGAGATACCTTAAAAGCCATGGGGGCCATACTGACCACACCCCCTGTACAACATATGCTTAGAGAGCAAGGCTATTGCCTAGGCAAAGGTATTGAAAAGAGCCTACAAGGAGATCCCCTGCCTGTGACTGATAAACCCCCAGTGCAGAGATCTCCTGGAGACCGGAGAGGATTAAGACATTTTTAGTGGGGGCCATTGTTTCACAGCCTCAAATACCTCCAATTCCTATCACTTGAAGAAATGATGATCCCGTATGGGTGGAACAATGGCCCCTATCCAAAGTAAAGTTGGAGGCTGCTCTTGCTTTGGTTCAGGAACAACTCGATGCTGGTCATCTTGTCCCCTCACCTCTCCCTGGAATACCCCCATATTTGTTATTAAGAAAAAATCAGGTAAGTGGAGGCTGTTACAAGACCTGAGATGGGTTAATAAGACCATGATGCTCATGGGTGCCACCCAGCCAGGGCTGCTAACCCCTGTGGCCATCCCTAAAGACTGGCACCTACTTGTGATAGATTTAAAGGATTGTTTTTTTAATATTCCTTTACACCTTGCTGATTGTCAGCGTTTTGCTTTCAGTGTTCCATTTGTAAACTTAAGAGAGCCTTATAAGAGATATCAGTGGGTAGTTTTGCCCCAAGGCATGGCTAACAGCCCTACTATGTGCCAAATTTATGTTTCTCAGGCTATAGAACCAATATCCTCAATTATATATAATTCATTATATGGATGATTTACTGCTGGCTGCACCAAAAGAAAAGCTTTTACTGTCTGCCTTTGGGGATCTTCAGACCACCTTAGGATTATCTGGCTTACAATTAACACCAGAGAAGGTACAGAAGGAGTTTCCATATCATTATCTAGGACACCGCTTGCTTCATAATGGGGTGTGCCCTCAAAAGGTCAGTCTTCGCCTAGACACCCTTAAGACGTTAAATGACTTTCAAAAGCTTCTGGGAGATATTAATTGGATCAGACCTAGCTTAAAAATTACCACTGGGCAACTTAAGCCTCTCTTTGATATATTACAAGGTGATTCAGATCCCAACTCTCCCAGAGTCCTCACTACAGCAGGACGGGAGTGTATTCATTTGATTGAAAAAGCCTTGGAAGGGGCTCATTTGGATTATATAGACTATGCCCTGCCTCTAAAATTGTTAGTGTTTTGTTCTGCTCATGCTCCTACGGGAGTTTTTTGGCAAGACAGTCCCATTCTTTGGGTTCACTCTAGAGCTTCCCCTAGTAAATCTGTGGTATCCTATCCCCAAGCTATAGTTACACTGCTGTTTAAAGCACAACAGACATCCCCTCAGTGCAGGCCTGGTTGAGCCAACAAGACAAATGAGTCATCAATGACAGGTACGTCCTGAGGGACATCTACCAACCTAAGACAGAAGGTTTGTGAGGCCTGGACAGACTTCTCAATGACGGGTAAGGTAGATGTTAACGTCCTGGGCAACCTAAGCCAGATGCTCATTTTTTAAATTATGTATAAAAGGGGGATTTGTTGCACCCTTCCCCCATGGGGGTCTGTTGACTGCTTGTTACTAGAGGCTTTTAGCAAAACATCTCTCATCCCCTCCTCTCAGTAAGGCCTGCATGCAAGTTCCTTTTTTTGTCTAAAAGCTAATTCCTGTTTTGGCCCACCCTTTGCTGGAGGGCCCTGGGAAGGTAGCCTTCTGACCTTGATGTTTTTCCACCATACCTGCCTTTGGTATATAAGGCTCCACCCTTGTAATAATAAAGGCCAGTTTTTTCTTGCAAGAATGAGCCGTTGTCTTTGTCTTTATCCTTAGCCCTTAGCCTCGGATCATTGTGAAGTGTGGTAGCACTGTAGCTGTGAACACATCTGCAGCTCGCTACAGTTAGTCATATCATAACAAAGTAGATGGTCATGGATGCATATTTCTGGGTGGGATCAAAGAGTCAGGATGCTGGGAACCTGTTTTCCAGGAACTTGAGTCAGAGACAAATGGTTAATAGGTATCAAGATAACTGTCTAGCACAAAATGAGTGCTATGAATGTGACTTATATTCAATTCTCTTAGCAAATTGTAAATGTGCTTATTATGTTACTTTGCCTCATGATAAGATGATTTTTTGTATGATAAAATAAGAGTTTGTCCTAAGGCAAAATAGCCAGATTTTTTGTTTGTTTGTTTATAGTTGCCAAAACTAAAACTCAGTGCACTGGTCTAAAACTAAAAATATTGTTCTTAGTTTAAAATAATGGGATCCTTTAAGATATTGATTTCTGATGTGCTCATACCTTGAATTCCAGCACTTGGGAGACAGAGGCACGCTGTGAGTTCAAGGCTAGCCTGGTCTACAGAGCAAGTTCCAGGACAGGCCGGGGCAACACAGAGCAAACTTGTCTCAAAAAACATACACATATTTATTTGTTCTTGGTGTCATTATAACTGTGTTTCCTGCTGAGTTTGCCAGAAGTTGAAGTACTTGTGGAATTAAGAAAGAACTTACTTAAAATTTTGTTTTTATCTAAGTTTTGTCTGTTATATGAAAGTTAAAACTACAATATATTATTTCCTCCTTATGACTGATAAAACCTTCCTTCTGAGTGTTCAACCAACAAAACATACAAGCCAAAGCCAATGAGGATATATGGACAAAAATGACTTTGTCCTCCAAGGTCAACCAGGGCCAAGGGGATAATGGGCCCCCAGTAAAGGGGCCCTAGAACTCTTGTAAGTCATCTGTGCTCTCAATCAGAAAGGCCACAAAACACCCCCCCAAAGGGGGGGGATTGTACTTTAACCCATGCACTTGCTGCAAAGTCCCTAGAGGGGGAAGAGTCAGCAAGACCCTAGCCCATCACCACAGATGGCACAGTGGGAGAGGGAAAATGGAGGATTCTAGGGCCCAAGTCCCTAGCAGTAACTCCACAGAATCTTAACTACCTACAATAGAAATGCAATTTTTGGCCACCTAGTTGACTTTATTTATTTTGATTTTTTTGAGACAGGGTCTCTCTATGTCAGCAGTTCTCACCTTGTGGGTTGTAACCCCCTTAGGGGTCAAACTACCCTTTCACAGAGGTCACCAAAGACCACCTGCATGTCAGATACTTACATTATAATTCATTACAGTAGCAAAATTATAGTTATGGAGTAGCAACAAAAATAATTTTATAGTGAAAGACCTGAAGTAATCAGGCTGAATACCTCGTGACATCCCGAGCTCAATAACCAGGCAGTTGGATGCAAACCGCAAGAGGTTCATTGTTCACACAGGCGTCTGTGGGCATTACAGAAGCCTTAGCTAGCTGAGCGTGCCGGGCTTTAGGACAGTTTTCTTTTTATGTACATAATTTTGGCAAGCAAAGCAATAGGGGTATTGTAAAAAGTGGAGCCACTGCAGGTGCAGATCTGGGCAAGCAATAGGGGATTGTAAGGAGCGCAGGCATAATTCATCCTTCCTGGAGAAACCTCAAGGTCAAAATTAAGCTTATCTGTACAGCCTGCCGGTGTCCTGCATCAGCACTCTGGACCAGATGTTCTTTTCAATCTGACCTTGTTCCCTGTCTAGGGGACCTTGGGGAATTTTCCACTGAGGCGACCTTCTGAGTCTCAAGGGGGGTGTATTGAGGTCTTTCAATAGTTGGGGGTAACCCCAACATGAGAAACTGTATTAAATGCTGTAGCATTGGGAAGGTTGAGAACCACTGTGCTATTCAGTCCTAGCTGTCCTGGAACTTAGTATGTAGACCAGGTTGGCCTCAAACTCACAGGAGTGTTGGGATCAACAGTGTGTGCCCCGACTCCCAGCCCTTACTTGTCCATCGAAGCTGACTGTCACACTCATCCTGAGACTTGAAGACCCACCCTTATACAGAGTCTTCAGTCCTATCCCTAAGTCCTCTGCTAATTCCCTGTCAATCCACTACAAAACCACTGGTTCTAGTGGTCACCTTTTATATAGAGGCATCCCCACTGAAACAGAACACATCTCTGACTGGGAGTTGGTGGTACTTGGGAGGCAGAGGCAGGCGGATCTCTGTGAGTTTAAGGTCACCCAGAGTTACATAGTGAGACCCTGTCTATATATAAATTGAATGAATAAATAAAGCAAAGATGCAAAATATAAAGAACCCACACACATTTTTTGTTTTTGTTTTTTCAAGACAAGGTTTAGCAATCCTGGAACTCACTTTGTAGACCAGGCTGGTGTGGTGGCATCTTGTTCCACCAATAGATTTGAGGTACCAGCCCTAAGGTGTGGCTTATAAGGAAAGAAGAGGGGTCTGGCTCTCTCTCTTGGGTGGTGGTCTGATCATCCTGCATCCCAGCATTTTGTGCCCCATGTTGGGTGCCCAATGAGTGAGGGAGGGTTATAGAAGTCCTCAAATACCCAAATAAAAGAATAACAAATACTTATTTGGGGAGCACTCACACAATGAAGGTTAATAGCAGCAGCAGTCTTCTGTCCCTGGCTGGAATGCAGGATGCTCAGATGAGAGAGAGAGAGAGAGAGAGAGAGAGAGAGAGAGAGAGAGAGAGAGAGAGAGAGAGAGAGAGAGAGAGAGAGAGAGAGAGAGAGAGAACTGAGTTGCTGTTTGTAAGTCTGTTCACTGGAGCCTGACCTTGGTTAACCCATGACCTTGACTTATTTTTGAGAATACCCTGGCCCTTTCTGACCACCCCTCACATTTTGTTGTTGTTTTGGTTTGGTTTTTCTAGACAGGGTTTCTCTGTGGCTTTGGAGGCTGTCCTGGAACTAACTCCTGTAGACCAGGCTGGTCTCTAACTCACAGAGATTTGCCTGCCTCTAACTCTGCATCCCAAGCACTGGGATTAAATAAAGGCATGAGACACCACTGCCTGGATGATGTTTTTTGAGATTTTTCTGCATTTCCTTATTGCCCCATTATCTCTTTTCTGCAAACCTGCTTTGCAATTACTTGTGATTTTATTCCTTAAAAGGGACCCAAAAAAAAATCTGATGGGCATGAGAGCATCTGTTTGGAGAATGGCCCTTGGGAGACAGAGACAGGAGTAGTGTTGTGAGTCTGATACCAGCCTTGGTGATGACATCAGCAATATGAAAAGGTATTTGCCACTAAGCCTAATGACCTGACTTCTCTATCTCCAGCCTACATGGTAGAAGAAGAAAAAAGATTCAATAAATGAATTGGGGCTTATTTCTTTAATGCGATTTAGGAGGCAGTCACTGGCCAGTCCATGGGTGTACCCCAATAAAAATGAAACTTTGAGCCCCACGGTGGTGACGCACGCCTTTAATCCCAGCACTTGGAAGGAGGAGGCAGGTGGATCTCTGAGTCCAAGGCCAGTTTTATCTATAGAGTGAGTTCCAGGACAGCCAGAGCTACACAGAGAAACCCTGTCTCAAAAAACAAACAAACAAAAGACGGGGTCTCTTTGCAGTTATGACTGTCCTGAAACACACTAGGTAGACCATGTTGACTTGAACTCATAGAGCTCTACCTGCTCCAGTCTTCCAAGTGCTGGGATTAAAGGTGTGAGGTGTGGACCCTCACTTCAGTACATTTGTTTCGAAATGATGACCTTGAAGAGATCTTGAGGCTCATACACACTGGAGACTCAACAGCATTCAACTTTCCCAGAAAGTGTGAGTGGCGACATTGTGCCAGGGGCCTGTTCATAGTTGTGTTGCTCATGTTCCTTTATCATGAATTTCTCTGGAAAAATGTGTTCTTTACCTTTGCTGGGTTTAATACTGAAAGGAGTGAGCATATGCCATAACAGGCTTCCCAGTCTTCTCTCAGAGATCAGGCTTCAGTTTCCTGAGACTGAGCAAGCAGTTTCTGAGGAAAAGCCACAAATAAAGGACAAGTCCATCTCCAATCCCCTGAACAGCAACGGGGAAGCCTGGTACATGCAGTGCTAGGCCAGGCCTGAGCTAGCCTCCACAGCAGCTCAAGGACAGGGCCTGGATTCCAGGCCTTCCCAAAAAATGGAAAACTGTAACCCTGACCAGCCCCTGACCAGGCCCAGGCAACTTAGAACACACTAATATGATTGTCACTTGCTTGAGCCAATCATATCTAAAATAACCTAACTTCCTTAGACACGCCCCTCAGTAAGGCTTAACAGAAGTCCCTATCTCCTTCTTGGGTCATAGCCATCTTGCCTTTGTGTAGAATGGTCACCCCCAGCATGCTGGAATAATTTAAAAAAGACTCTTTGCTTTTGTATTGGATCTGCTGTCTTAGTGGTCTTTGGGGGTCATGATGCTGGGCACAACAAATACCTCCACAATGTCACCTTCAGATAATGGAGGAGTGTTTCAAGGGCTGCTTCCTGGCTTGCTCACCATGGCTTGCTTGGCCTGCTTCCATATACCACCCAGGCCCACCTTCTCAGGGTTGGCACCACCCACAGTGCAATGGGCTCTTCCATATCCATCATCCTTCAAGAAGGTGTCTTACAGATGTGCCCACATGTGGATCTCTGTGAGTTCGAGGCCAGCCTGGTCTACAGAGCGAGTTCCAGGACAGCCTCCAAAACAATACAGAGAAACCCTGTCTCGAAAAACCAAAAAAAAAAAAAAAAAAAAAAGAAATTGAGGTAACAAGCCTTGAGCCACATGACCAAACATAGACAGAAATATGGGTTAATTTAAATGTAAGAGTTAGCTGGGCGGTGGTGGCGCACGCCTTTAATTCCAGCACTTGGGAGGCAGAGGCAGGCGGATGGATCTTTGTGCGTTCGAGGCCGGGCGTTGGTGGCAGAGTGGCAGCAGTAACACTGTGTTTGTCCCAGACAGTTTCCAAGATACCTGTCAAGAGCCCAAGCACGGTCTGCACCTGGTCCAGCAGCAGCTTCCGTAACTCCTCCTTCCGAGCCACACTGAGGTCCTCACGGGGACAAGCTAGCTCTTCCGAAGTTGTTTTCAACATGATCAGTCCAAGGGGGGTTGTCACAGGGGACTGGATCAACGGTAAAATATTAGTGAAAAAGTCATGGTAGAACACGGGCCAATCTTGGCGTCCAATATCAACAATAACTTTGCAGAGTTTGTTCCGGATAAAGTAAGGTAAGGTTTTATGGTGGTAAACTTCTCAATGTAGCTCTCATCGAGCTCCTCTAGCCTGCTCTTCACCGTGTGGGCATTGTTATCCTTGGTGATTTTTTGCAGGAGGTAGAAGGTTTGCTGGAACATTCGTAATAAGTACTCCTCAAATTCCACAGGCACACAGTTCTTGGACATGAGCTCCCTGCTGCAGGCTGTGGGCCGTTTAGCTGAGTACTTCACTGGGGATGTGTTTGCTGCAAGGTTCACCGATGCTCTCACAGTCGTGGAGAGGTTGGTCAAAGTTACTCTGTACGGATCTCAGATAAAACTGTACAACATTGAAACAGCTGTGCCGTCAGTATTGAAACCTGACCTCATTGACGTGCATGCCCAGTCACTTGCTGCTCTCCAGGCCTACTCCCACTGGTTGGCACAGTATTGCAGTGAAGCCCATCGACAGAACACACAGCAGTTTGTGACACTCATCTCTACCACCATGGATGCCATCACGCCTCTCATCAGCACCAAGGTTCAAGACAAGTTGCTGCTGTCTGCCTTAATGTATCGTTTTTAGTAAACATGTTTTTACTAAACATTGTCTTACAGCTGCCTACTCCCAGGCAGAAGGGGAAGTGGGTCTCTGCTCAAGGTCTGGTGTTCCCACACCCACAGGCCAATCCTATGCAAGCATTTTCTTTTCTTTTTATTTGTTTTGTTTTTTGAGACAGGGTTTCTCTGTATTGTTTTGGAGGCTGTCCTGGAACTCACTCTGTAGACCAGGGTGGCCTCGAACTCTCAGAGATCCCCCCTGCTTCTGCCTCCCAAGTGCTGGGATTAAAGGCATGCACCACCAACGCTCGGCTACAAGCATTTTCTTAAGGTTCTTTTTTCTCAGATAATTCAAACTGATATAAAAAGTAGCTAGCATAGAGATGTAGAGAAAAGTCTCTGAAAACTCAGTGTAAACGTCAAAATGCTAGAGTATCTTAAACAAAATAGAGTACAGACCTGCCTACGACAACTCCCGGGTAGCTTTCCTACCAAGGTTTAAACTCTTAGTTCCTAAAATCTCCTTCCTGCCATTTTAATTATGCTATCTTTGTCCTTGGCTTAATTTACATCCTGCGATTGGTTTCTTTGTAAACCAAACCTCTCCAGATATTGGGAGGATTCAGGGAACAACAGTCTTTTGGGGGTACTTTGAAAGTACCCCTCTGGACTGATTGAAAAGCTTTAATCTGAGGGGTTTCCGGAGCAGTATATTGTGGACATGGGAGAGTAGGGTTGGAAGGTAAGCAGACTTGAACCTTAGCCTAGCTGCCTGTTCAACCTGTCAAGAAAACTGGTTTTTGTTTTTGTTTGCTTTTTGGGTTTTCAAGACAGGATTTCTCAGTGTGGTCCTGGCTGTCCTGGAGCTTGCTCTGTAGACCAGGTTACCTTGAACTCATAGATCCACCAGTCTTGTCTCTGCCTCCCGAGTGTTGGGATTAAAGGTGTGCACCACCACTGCCTGGTTTTGTTATTAAAATGGGTCTTGCATTATATAATAGTTGCCTATGTTGGAGTCAAGGTGATGACTCTTAGGACCAGCATCTTTAATCAGCCTGTCCACTCCAGAGAACTGCAAGGACACAGGTCATGTGGAAAGCACAGTCCACCTCAGTGCAGATTTTAAGCCACTTCTGCCACCAGCTGGACAGCCCTAGTTAGCACAAGTTCTGCTTTGGGGGCTGATCTGGAATTAATTACCTGGAAGTAGCTCAAATTCTGTGAGCTGAGTCTCACTGCAGCAACCCTGACAGCTTGTGTCCTGCCACCATTAAACTGCTACCACCTGAGAGCCACGCAGCCTCAGGCTGGGACCGTGTGGCATCATATAGGTCTGACCTAGCATTGCGGGTCAAGCTTATTGTTTTATACATGGGCGTATTGTAGAGGATCCCTGGTGTTGAGCTCTGGAAGAGGCAGTAGGATTAAAGGCTGGGTAAAATTTTACACTTAGCTCTGAAAGTTGCTGAGAGCCTGGTACTGGTTGATTTTGTTTTCTGAGGCCCAGTGGAAGGTCCCCAAGTTGAGAGTTTAAAGTGTAGAATGGAATTGTGACTCTTGGTCCAGTTTTTGTCCAATATCTGGAGAGGCTTGTCTTATAAAATGTACAACCAGGATGGCTTGGCTTTTCTGAGTCTCAATATCCAGGTTTACAAATTTGTTCATAGTTTCAGTTAAAAAAAGATCAGGGTTCTCAGAAGCCATCTGTTATTATCTTCTACAACTTATCATAGTTATGGGTTTTTTGTTTTTTGTTTTGGTTTTTCGAGACAGGGTTTCTCTGTGGCTTTGGAGGCTGTCCTGGAACTCGCTCGGTAGACCAGGCTGGTCTCGAACTCACAGTGATCCGCCTGCCTCTGCCTCCCGAGTGCTGGGATTAAAGGTGTGCGCCACCAACGCCCGGCTAGTTATGGGGTTTTTGCCTCTTCTACTTGATTACCTCACTGTTAGAGGTATTATCTCTAATAACAAAATAGTTAGTTATATATAGTTCTGGTGGGTTCTTCCCCCATCTCTCCTTTAAGTGTCCTGATATGTCCTACAGAGTTCTCCTTCAGGCCCAGCAATGGGAGCTAGCCTGGCTATAACTGAATTCTGAGTGTGAGCCTCACCAGTTCAGGGATGTGCTGAGATCCAGATGTGGAACTTTTCCTAAAGGTTAGAATGATATGGATACTTTTCTAGGTTAGGTCTAATGACACACAGAGACTTTGGATTCCTCAGTGAAGGTGGGAGAGATCCTGGCTAAATTGGGCTAGTTTGGATTGCATTTGGGAAAGATCAGGGTCTTAGTTACTGTCTTATTGTTGTAAAGAGACACCATGACCACGACAACTTTTTTTTTAAACGATTCATTTACTTTTATTTTATGTGCATTGGTATTTTGCCTGCATGTGTGTCTGAGTGATGGTGTCTGATCACCTGGAGATAGAGTTACAGGCAGTTATAAACTGCCATGTGGGTTCTGGGAACCAAATCTAGGTCCTCTGGCTAAATAGCTCTTAATCACTGAACCATCTCTCCAGCCCAGACCACAGCACCTCTTATAAAGGAAAACATTTAATTGGGGTTTGCTTATAGTTTCAGAGGGTTAGTCCATGATCATCGCGGCAGGAAGAAGACAGACATGGCACTGGAGCCATAGCTAAGAGCTTTATATTCTGATCCACAGGGGAGAAAGAGAGAGAGAGAGAGAGAGAGAGAGAGAGAGAGAGAGAGAGAGAGAGAGAGAGAGAGAGAGAGAGAGAGAACAAAAACCCCAATTCTCTTTCTTCTCTAGTCTCCAGGGACTACTCACCTATTTCTGTCCTACTAAGTACTGTTTGCAAGGCTCATCCATGTCTTAGCATATATCAAGGCTCTCTTTTCTTTTTGTGGCCTAATGACTATTTTCTGGATTTGCCCATTTGTTCCATTTAGTGTGTTTCTACCTGTTGCCTGTCATTACAAACACTGTAGACGTGAGATGTAAGTACGGCTACACATAGACGTGTTTTCACTCTGACAGACATGGAGGTGGGATCCTGGGTTGCAGCTGAGATCTGCCTACTTCCTGCAAAGTCCGCAGCATCATACTTCTGGCTTCTTTGCTTCTAAAACACAATGGCTATCTGCTTTTCCCTAGCATACCTAATGGGTATGAGCAATGTGCCGTTGCGGCTTTGAACTGCATTTTCTTTTCCTTTCTTTTTTTGGTGGGGGGGGAGGGAGGTTGAGACAGGATTTCTGTAGTTCTGGCTGTCCTGGAACTCGCTCTGTAGACCAGGCTGGCCTCAAACTCACAGAGATCCCCCTGCCTCTGCCTTGATCTGCATTTTCTTGATAGCAAGAATATGGAGCCTATTGGTCACTGGCATCTTTTAGAAGAAATGTAACTTCCCCTTTTTGTTCACTTTTTATTTTACTACACTTTTATTTACTCTTATTTGAGGCTGGCTTCAAACTTACTATGTAGTTGAAGATGACCTTGAAAGGGTCCTCTTGCTTACATCTCTCCAGTGCTGAAATCACAGATGTGCCCTGCTCCAACTTTTGAGGCTCTGATGGTGAAGGTTGCACATTCGGAGGTGAACAGGGGCTCTGGAGTTAGGTCTGTTGACCCCCTCTTTTATCCATCCTGCCCTGCAGGATGAAACTTGGGGAATAAATGAGAAGTTACTGAACAGGTTAACGTGGCAAATGATTTCTTGTGTCCTTCACTGCAAATTTCTTGTGTCCTTGTTCTGACCGGCACTCAGCTCCCTCATTGCTTCTCACAGGACAGACATGGAGTTCCCTGTGTGGCCATTCTTCTACAGATTTCACCTCAGCAATGGCTGTTTCACAACCAGCAGGAAAACATCTGCCTTCCATAAGTTCCCAGGCTGCAGCCAAGTGACTGGAATTTTCCTTCTTCAGCTAGCCAGGAGCATCCAGGCCCTGGGCTGGAAAGCTCCTCCCTCCTCCACCGACCACCAAAGAAAAACCCAGTTGCCTCTGTTTCCAGCCTCTGCAACTTTGTATCTAGGGGGCGGGGAAGGCATGTGTTTCATTAGAGGTCCTCGCAGTGAGGCCTGAGGCCGGATTTAGGGTTGTTCAAGGGGTGTGAGAGTGGAGGGCTGTTTGGGTTTGGTTTGGCTGTGGCTCTGAACAGGCGCAGTGAGGTGCTGCAGTTATTATTCTGGGTTGGGGAAGATTTGCAGACCTGGGGAAAGTTCCAGTACTCCTACTCTAAGCAGGAGCTGGAGACCTTGGGGCAAGTTTTGGCCCTGGGACAACTCTTGACCCCAGGAAGCTTGCCTGTCTCTGCACCTTAACAGCCACGCAGCCCTGAAGTAATTTGATCCTCAAGGTTTTAGTGCCGCCCCCTTCAGAACCCAGCCAGTTCTCTACAGTAAGGCCTTCTAGAGACCAACAGGAAAAGGAAGCTGCCAGGGAAAGGGCGGGCCTACAAAGCCAGGGTAGCAGCAGCCATCCTCTAGAACGGGTGATTGTTCGAGTCAGTACCATGAGCCATAATTCCCAAGCCTTCTACACCAACAATGCCGGACTTCCCCCAAGTTATGAGACAATCAAAGAGGAGTATGGGGTGACTGAGCTAGGGGAGCCCCACAACTCAGCTGTTGTGAGAACCACCGTGATCAACATGCCCAGAGATGTTGCTGTGCCTGACCATGTGGTCTGGTCTCTGTTCAACACGCTCTTCTTGAACTTCTGCTGCCTGGGCTTCATTGCCTATGCCTACTCCGTGAAGGTGAGTGTGGTGGAGGAGGGAGTGTCAGTGTAAGAAGGGGTGTGGGAGCCCGGAGCTCATCGACTCAGATGGCACCTGGGGGAGGGGTGTCCTTTATGGAAGAGAGTAAGTTCGTGCGCACCCTTTCTGTGTGTGTGTGTGTGTGTGTGCGTGCGTGCGTGCGTGCGTGTGTGTGTGTGTGTCTGTCTGTCTGTCTGTCTGCCTGCCTGCCTGCCTGTCTGTCTGCCTGCCTGCCTTGGAGAAGTTCCAATCGTCTGCTGGGATGAGGCTGCCTAGAGATTCTGGGGCCAGACTTTCCCCACCCCATTCCTGGAATGTCCGTTCACCCTGCGGAAAGTGCTGTGTGTGGCCAGTGCTGGGCCTCCTGTATAGTTTGAGAGAGAGAGAGAGAGAGAGAGAGAGAGAGAGAGAGAGAGAGAGAGAGAGAGAGAGAGAGAGAGAGAGAGAGAGAGAGAGAGTGTGTGTGTGTGTGTGTGTGTGTGTAGAGAGGAGGGTCACTGGTCTAAGGGAGCAAGGCTGCAGTGGGCCGGGAGGACATGGAGAATTGAGTCAGAGCACCTGACTCTCAGCTGGCCAGCTCCAGGACCCCTTACCATTTGGTCTCCTTCAGTCCAGGGACAGGAAGATGGTGGGCGATGTGATTGGAGCCCAGGCCTACGCCTCCACTGCCAAGTGCCTCAACATCAGCGCCCTGATCTTCAGCGTCCTCATGGTCATTGTCTGCATCATTATTGTCTCCACCACCTCTGTGGCAGTCTTTCAAGCCTTTTCACAAAGAATGCCACATTCTGGATTCTAGTCCTGCCCTGTGCCCCACAAGCCACAGCTGCCCGCCCCAGGCTGAGGTCTTGACCCTTTGTTTATCCTACGCATATGCAAATGTTACCTTCATATATATCTGTCCACAGTGGATCCAATAAAGTACGCACGGTGACACCTCTGGCTGTGACTCTATTCTGTGGGTCAGTGCTGAGCTCACTGCACCCTTCCTGTCTGATGTGAGCAGAGCGTCCTTAACTTGGCAGGCTTCTCGTCTCCTGCTATGGGCAGTAGCTGACGAGTACCCTGTGTGGGGTTTTGGCTGTTACAGGCAAAGGGATTCTGGGTACCATCCAAGCCTGACACTATGCCTCAGGGTGCCCAGGAAGGGTGCAGAACCCTGAGCAGAGGAGGCTTCAGGAGTGAAAGACACCTAGAGTCCCTTACCTCAAGGGAAACGAAACCTCTAGCCAAGATAAGCTGTGACCTCATTCCATGGTGGCCTCTGGGCTATGACTTTAGACTCCTTGTGTGACCTGCACACAGCTAGTGGTGTACTGCTGTGGGCTTTGGAAAGGGCTTCACTCTTTGTCACACACAGCACTTGGGTATGTACAGGGACCTGGAGGGGGTGGGGATTCCAGAATGCCCCTCGTGGTCTTTGAACAGTAGGGAGGACCAAATGACAGTAAGCTCTGCAGGGGTCGCAGCTCCTATATTCCCCTTCACCTGGAGGCGATGCTGTCTACCCTGGCTCTCTGTTGACATGTTACACTGCATCCCAGGAGTTTCTTCGCAAGGGTGCCCTTGGGAATCAGGCTTGGCTTCCAGTGCCCGTGGGACTTGGTTCTATCCAGGAGCTCTTTGCTTCCCTAACCACCAGGATAACGTGAATGTATCCCAGAATCCCAGGAGTAGCACAGTGAGCCCTAGGGTAGATGTGCTACTGGGAAGGCACTGTGTGACTTCAGCAAGGCAAGGCCTGGCTTTTTACAGGAAGTGTGGTTTTAATAGGAAGTAAAGAGGAGCAGCTGGGAAGGAGGCAGCTGTGGCCTGCAAGTCAGGCCAGTTCCCTTAATATTTTGGAGATCTCAGCATGGCTTTGACACAGAAGAGTTTCACAAGGCAGTAGGAAGAAGCTGGAGTTTATAAAGCATGCTCAAGAGTAGGTATGTGGGCTCCTCAGGAGTCACTGCTAAGTCTTTTAATGGTAATTGTTTGTGGGATTTTGGAAGCTTTTGGAATTTCAATGGTTTAACAGGTTTCTAAGGGATTCTTCCCTCCTCTAGTCCCCGTTCAATCACTGAGGCTGTACAGTGACTCTGGGATACTTTGGATGGGACCATGTGCTGACAGGGTAAAACCAGAAACCACTGGGCTTGCACAAAGGATTTCTGGTGAGATTCTGTAGAAAATGTCAGGTTTATAGTTGGAAAAGGAGAAGCTGGGGGATGGTGATGCACTCCTTTAATTCCATTACTTGGGAGGCAGAAGCAGATCTAATGTGAGTTCAAGGCCAGCCTGGTCTACAAGAGCGAGTTCCAGGACAGCCAAGGTTACAGAGTTTCTCTGTGTAGCTTTGGAACCTATGCTGGAACTCACTTTGTAGAGCAGGCTGGCCTCAAACTCAGAGATCCTCCTGTCTATGCCTCCCGAGTGCTGTGATCAAAGACTTATGCTACCAGCACCTGGTTGGATAGTGTCTTAGATTAGCCCCAGTGCTTCAGGTACTCTCACTGTGGCCCATCTGCCCAGAGCAGGAGGCCAGAAACCTGAATCCTGAGGATGGGCCCTCCTCCCTCAGACAGGGATGGTAAGGGTGGGTCCTGCTCCTCTTAGACGTGAGGCTGAGGGTGGGCTCTGCACAGGACCAGTCTGGGGATAACAGAAAAGGTATCATAGCACACTCACAGCCAGGTGCATTTTCTGAAGCTCCACTGGACAGATGTGTGAGTGTAACATCTGTGATGCAGTCTGGGTCTAGGTATCAGGGTATGCAGCAGCTGTGGCTTGTATGGTACTGGTGAGTGAACGTATTTCTACGTTCTTGGCACTGTCGGAACTCAGAGAGGAGACCTAGTAAACACCTGGTGGGGTGTTTCTGGATAGCTTTGCCAGTGGGATTTTGGATAGCTCCCTTTTTTTCAGACAAGAGTTTCTTTGTGTAGCCCTGGCTGTCCTGGAACTTGCTCTGTAGACCAGGCTGGCCTTGAACTCACAGAAATCTGTCTCCCAAGTGCTGGGATTAAAGGAGTGCACCACAATTGCCTTGCTTTGGATGAAATTAATTATGGCTTTTTAATTTTTCTTTTTCCTTTAGAAGCTCTGGCTGGCCTAGAACTATGTACATCAGGCTGTCCAGGAAGAAAGGAGGGCAACTCCTGGGATGTCGGGATTTTTTCTCTAATAGAATCCCTCTTTTGTCCTTATGCTAACAGAGGCAGATTGTACAATTCTGGTGCCATGACGATGTTTTTATATAGAAGGAAAGCATGGGTAGTGCTCATCTGGTCAGTGTGTGGTTTGTGTGTTTTCTGAGTAGTCACATGTCTCTGTTGTTTTCATCAGCTCTGCCACCACAGTTTGCCTCTTGTTTTCCCTGTACCTTATCGAGCTAACCTCATGGGGAGCTCAGTCAGGACTAGAGGGCAGAATCTGTCTTCTGTAAAGATGTCTGTGAGCTTGAGTCCTAGCACCCTCATAGTGTGGCTCACAAATACCTGTAAGTCCAGTTCCAGAAATTCCACACTACCGACCTCTGTGGGCATCTGCACTCATATTTCCACACCCCCACATATATAATTAAAAATGATAAAAATTAATATTCAAAAGGAGGTCTCTGAGATGAAGAGAACTTGCAGAAACAAGGGTGGAAATAATGCTGATGAAGATGACGGTGAAGACCAGGGTACTGATGTACATGTTCTTGGCTGTGCAGGCATAGGCCTGGGATCAGTAATGCCACCCATCATCTTCCAAATGACAAGGGACCTTGGAGAAAGACATCTGAGAACCAGATGCTTGGACTAGGTCCCTGTCCTCTTTCCTGCCCACTGCAGTCTTCCTGCTTCAAGTCAGGGGCCTCCTTCCCTTTTCACACACTCAGACTATCCCGGAGGCCCCAACACTGTTTGCTTGGGGGGGTGTCTAGCAATCCTAGTGGCATGGACAGGAGTAACCAAGGCTTTGGGCCTGAGCAGCTGAGGAAGGCTAGGCAGTGAAGGAGGATCTGGCTCTTGCTAAGGATTTGAGTTGGGAAGACCTGAGGTTCCCTCTATCAAGGATGCTCTTGGCATGTGAGCACGGAGACTTCCTGCTGGACATGTATTGAGCTTTGCACACACAAGCATTTGAACCCTCAAGGAAACTATCCTACTCAAATGCTAGGATTGGGAAGGGGACCACTAACAGGTCAAGGAGACTGAAGAGGCTCAACCTGCCCAGGAGCTGGAGGGAGGGAGTGGGGTGGGGCTTCCTATAGTTTGTGGTGGGAAGTGGGCAGTCTCTTTCATTATTCCTTTTTGCCTGCTATTTTCTTCTTAGCATTCATCTCTAGCAAGTAGGTGTTTGCTTTACCATCTGTGCGTGTCAGCACAAGGTGACATGATGAAAGCCTGGATTCTGGCTTCTGAGTGCTGGAGATGGAGGGCTGTGGTATATGCAGCTCTGGTCCTGAGGAGGTAGCTCTGACTGCTCCCTGAAGCTGAGGCAGCCCCATGTCCACTCAGCCTCAGGGTCCACCAAGCAACTGTTTGCAGTCAGTGACCTGGTGCAGCCCTCTGTAAACAGTCCAGACTGCAGGGGGCTCTGGTGGGTGGTCTGCAGCCACTGCCCATGTGGCGCAGTGGCCTTTGATGGGGTCTTTTGAGAGGGATGGGGGATGCTGGGGTACAAGGGCGGGCCACACTGCTTGGCAGGCTGAGACTGTAATTTGTGTTATATATAGCAGGTGGGGCTGGCCAGCCAGGGAGGGTAGTGTGAGGCTATAAGCAGGCCTGGCGGTGCTCAGAGAGCACGAGTCTCATCTGGGAAGACACGGCGCTGGAACCCATGGATACCTCGTATCCCCGTGAGGACCCCCGGGCTCCATCATCCCGCAAGGCTAACGATGCTGCCCACACGGCAGTCTCCATGGGAACACCAGGCCCTACACCACGAGACCATCTGCTGTGGTCAGTCTTCAGCACGATCTACCTGAACCTGTGCTGCCTTGGTTTCCTGGCGCTGGTCCACTCTGTCAAGGTTAGCTTTAAGGCTTGTGGGAAGGACTGGGGAGGGAGAATGAGTAAGGACTGGGTAAGAGGTGATGTGGGTAGGGGGTTAGGGATTAGAAAGAAAAATATATGAAGGGGTATCTGTTAGCATAGCCACTGTCCCTCACCAAGTTTGGGGACCATGAGAGCCTATCTATTAAGGGGTGTATGCACTCTTCACAGGTCTGGCTATATAGCGCCCCCAAAAGGGTAAAATCCTTAAAGGTTGTCTATAGAGGAAGTCTGGCTGTAGCCCCTGAATGGGACTGAGTTCTTGGTTTTGCAGAGGACTCCTTTCCCACAGGAGGCTCTCAAAGATGCTGATGACTCAGAATGGCCACTGATTCTTTGCAGCCTTTAGGCTGGGGCTATCATGACTCAGGACCCTACCATGTTGGGAGACTGTAGGCCCAGCCCAGGGGAATATCTCCTCAAACTGTCCCCCTCCATCAAGATTTGGAGTCCAGCCTATGCCTACAGTTGCTCTGGTGTAACATTTTGGCTCTGCAGGCCCGAGACCAGAAGATAGCTGGGGACCTGGAGGCTGCGAGACAGTATGGCTCCAAAGCTAAGTGCTACAACATCCTGGCTGCAATGTGGACATTGGTGCCCCCATTGCTGCTCCTCGGGCTGGTGGTGACCGGAGCCTTGCACCTGTCCCGGCTGGCCAAAGACTCTGCGGCTTTCTTCACCACCAAGTTTGACGATGAGGACTATAACTGAGAATTCCGAGCCTGTCCTGAACCGAGGACAATGATGCCAGGTCACTGACCCCAGGTGCCCAACACCAGCTCCTGGGAGTCATAGACTACCACAGCACCTTGGTCCCTGCCCAACCATGATCCCAGAGACCACCCTGTTGTCTACCATGTGTATTTGATGCTGATTCACTGGGACCTCTTAGACTTTACCTCTAATCTTTCCCCCACTTACCAGGCTGAGCCTCCATTCACAAATAAAAGTGGCAAATTCCAGAAACGTGTGGGTTCCTCCTTCTTGGTAGTAGTTGTGTAGGGAGCCTCAGCACCAAATCCTCTGGCCAATCCCCAGTCATCTGATTCCATCTGCTTGGCTGCCCCTGACTACTGTTTTTTGCTTAGCTATAGGGCAGCCTGTGGCTTCTGGGGTGGAGGAGCCTAAGTATTTTAGGATGAAGTTCGGGAACTCAGGCCTTTGATCCCTACTGCCCTGTGGTTTGATGGGCAGTGTCCCAGAACATGTGAGGGTGTGTCCTGACTCCCCATACACCACAGTGGTCTTCTGGCCTCCTGGGTCAGTGAAGGCTGTGGAGGAGGTAGGCAGGGTCCACTTCCTATGTGGGACTGGACACTGGACTCCATCTGAACACACAGACACACACAGCCTTCTCCCCTCCTTTCCTCTCTGACTCATGCATACTCAGAGGCAGACAGGCAGCAGGTATGGATAACTTCTGAGTCACCAGTGGTACTAGGTGCACGTCCTCACATTATTTCTCCTTTCTATGTGTCACATGCCCCCGGCTCCCACACTAGATTCAGCAGATACACATTAAAAATGCCTCGTGAGCTGCAATGAGCCCCTTCAGCCCCACCCAGGTTCTTACTGTGGCCAGCTTATGACAGAGCAAGCTAACGACATAGGTCTTAACCCCTGTAGGCTCAGGGGTTGTGCACTCCACCCAAGTCCCTTTCCTCCCCAGGAGCCCCACTTCCCTGCCAGCTCTTTCTAGTTGGAGGTGTCTGTTTAGCCTACTCAGAGACCTGAGACTGTTCCCCGTGCTGTTACATGCCTGCAGCCAAAAGCTGGCCCTGAGGAGCTCCAGGATACTGACTTTGCCAAGCCAACCCCTGGAGATAGGTGCATATGCTGATCCGTGTTTGGGAATGGAGATGAAGCTAGTGCTGGGTACTAGTCCTATTGTGGACAAGGGACAACGACTGTGTGGCTGTGCTTATACAAAGATGGCTACAATGTAGCCCCTTGAACTAGTTAAAAAAATAACTCTGGCTGGCTACAGGGACTTATCTGTTCCTGGGTAAACGTCTCCAAACATGAGCTATTTTGCCAGCCTCCATATATAATTTGGGGCAGGGTTGCCTGGTTTGTGCCCAGTTCTGAGGACAGAGTGTGCGGTCAAGCCAGTGGGGCAACAGCAGCAGCTTCCCCTGCTCCCGGCTTCTTAGACACGATCATCTGTGCCAGCCAACATGTTCTATCACCCCCATGGCCTCAGAAGCTTACCATACTACATGCACAGCAGTGACCACATATACACAGGTAGAATGCACACCCAGGTACTGCGCTACATCTGTTCTGTGGTTGCAGTGTCACTCCCCAACCTGCTGATGCCCATGCCCAGTCTTGGCTTTAGGCAACTCATGAACATCACTTCTGCCAGATCAGCTCCTGGCCCACCATAAGGAAGGCGGAGGAAGACACAAGGGCCCCACCCTGCTCCTGAGCTTTGAAACCACATCATCATTCATCCCCAGGTGCAAAGGGACACGAATCCATCACACACCTAGACTTTAGGAGCCTTTTGCCAGCACTGACTTTAATTAGCCTGGTTGGCTTGGGATAGAGGCCCAGTTTTTACCAGGATCCTGGTCCTGTGCTATGCATCTTGTTCTGGGGAAACACTGATAAAGTAAGCCAGGAACTGAGGACCAGCAGTGAAACCTGGGCAGCTTCTTGGCCCAGATAGCTAGAGCGATGATCATGGAACCCTGCCCATTTGACTCCAGTTTCTCTGGTCGCCAGCCAGGAACTTTGTGGTCTTTCTCTGATGCTCATCTACCTCGGCCTCTGGTGATAGCGCTGCCTTCCTTCTTCACATGGTTAGGGACTCTCACCCTAGCCCGCTACGCCAGACACCATCTGACGTCAAAAGGAGTCAAAGAATAGGAAGTTCAAAGCCACAAACCCCTGAGAACTTGGTCAGCCCTTCCTGGTCCCAACTGCACACCACAGAAAGTTCTTGTTTGGGGTAGCCAAGTTCCTGGCTCTATGACCCACCTGCTGTCCACCTTCTCAGCAGGGCTGCTGGCCATTCACCTCCCAGCTCTTTGACCAGAGCAATCCAGAGATCAGAGGAAGGAGGAAGGGGAAGGCGTGGAGGGAATGCTCAGTAGCCTTAATGGCTTAGAACAGGATCCAGATTGAGAGACTGTGAGGGGGAATGAAGCTGAGAACCCAATAATGTCCCAGGGGAACTGAAACATGGTTCTAATGTCAAAACTCGGCTCAGGAAACCCTGAAGCATTGGAATTTCTCAGCAGCTACGGGGATGACTTTTGTATCCGGCCAGCCGAGTGGGGAAAGGAGACCTTATGTCCTGTAAGAGAGAGGGTTAATCCTTTAGGGCATGCACCGAGACTCCTGGGTCACATGCCCAAAGGCTTTTCCTTACCTGGTTGCAGAGGGAGCCGGGCCAGGGATGGCCACAATTCAGCTTCTAGCAGGGGCGCCCACGGCTCTGCATGGGCTGTGACCTCAAGTGTCACAGAGTCCTTGGAAAAAGTGAAGTTGAACTTGTTCCCCAGGTAGGAGATGCCAGAGACAGACACCCTGGACACCAGGTCTGGACACAGGGGGTCAAAGGTCACACCTGCCTCAGTGATCCTGTGGGGGAGAGCTGTGTGAAAAGGGTTGGGACACGTGGGAATTTGCCGCTGGTCACTGCACTCACCTGAATCCTGGGCACCCGAAGAGTGCTGTCTGCAGAAAGCCCCCCATGCCCGTCAGGAAGTTCACAGCGCCAGACCCATCCGCATTCTCCGTCCACACCTGCAGGCAACAAGAGTGGCCGTGATACGAGGCCACCAGCCTAAGCAGGACGCTTATCCTGCTGAGACTACACAGTGGGAGAAGAGAGGCAGTGGGTGGTGGGTGGGGGCCGGGCTGACCTTGAAGGGCTCGGTGACGTTGATGAAACTTCTGCTCAGGAGGACCTGGGCTCTCGAGGGCTCCTTCAGTTCCATCCAGCCCACAGCAAACATACTCTGAGGTCAGAATTCAGATATGAAGCAGTTCGACTCACCGAGTGTGAAGGAAGGCGAGGACAGTGGGGTAAGACTACCCGCCAGGCTCCTCACCCAGGTCATAGCAGGGCCCTGGGGGGATGTCACAGCCTCATAAATCTCCAAATTTTTCCTTCGGATGTCAGGTCGCAGGGGAAAGGGGACTGGGTATCCCAGGAGCACAACATCTGCCTGCTTCACTTCTTCTCCTGATTTGGGGAGGGGGCAGCAGGATAGGGATGGGTTCTTGGTCAAAGGGACGAGGCTGTGCCACAGTGGATGGGGGGTGACCCAGCAGAAGGACCCTTGCAGGACTCGGCACCACTCACCACGCACATAGCCATCAAACTCAGGGTGGAAGTTCTGCTCAGAGTCAAATGGCACCTTGATCCCGTCAGCCACCTCCAGCCACTGGCTGGGGATAGGCAGACCCAGGTCCTTGGCCAATGCAGCAGCAAAACGCAGGCTGGGGAGGGGGTACAAGCCACAGTTGCACGGCTTCTGTCTGGGCCCTGTCTGCTGTGCTGGGCTGGGGAAGGGGATGTCTCGTGTCTGACCTGTTCTGCACCAGGACGTTGGTGTACACAGAATTGTTGACTCCTGAGTGGTACTCATCAGGGGGCATGACTCCTGGTCACACGGGGACACCATGACAGTTAGTGTAGGGGCTCAGGACACGCCCTTCCATGGTAAAGGCCCATGCTGAGCTAGCTACTGTGATCCCTAGTCCTCACCTTTCAGGTGGTACATCTTCTCCTGGGGGCTCCATTCTACACGGCTGCACCAAAACTCAGCCACAGCACTGACCACATCCCAGCCACCACCCTCTTGGAAGAGCTGCAGGTCCTGGAGAATAAGAGCAGGGCGAAGGACCAGGGGTACAAGAGGGCCACTGCGCATGGTCAGTGCCCACCTTTCAAACACCCAGAAAGCAATGCCTGGCTTCCAAAGCCCTTCTCCACGTAGCCTCCTAGGGTCACGGTGTGGAGTGTGGCCCCAGGAAGGTGCATGGGCACACGTGGGGTGTAACGGTGCCTCACCTGAGTGCAGCGGTAGTACAGCTGGAAAGCCAACACCACGGCTCCGTTCACGTGGACCTCCTGGATCCCATAAATGTCCTCAGGGCAGACCTCCAGGCCGGTGCTCGCACTCTCCCAAGCAAACTTGGCTCCCTGTGAGGAAACAGGACAGAACGGTCAGATCTAGATCTGAAGGGGTAGCCCTGTCCTACCAGAGGTTCAATCCTTTGCGGAGGGAAGGAAAGAGGAGGGATGGGGGTCTGGTGGTCACTGAATGGCACTGGGAAGACCCTGGGGCAAGGGCCCTATAGGATCGTCCCCAGGCCCTATTACCCGGTAGCCTAGGTTCTGGGCATTCTTCAGGGCCCCTCCCAGTGTACGGATTCGGTATTCCAGGATGGCCCTGGCAGCCTCTGGGTGGAACATCAGAATATTTGGGAACATCCAGAGGTCCTGAGAGGATGAACCATTCTTGAGTTAAACAGAAGTCCATACCTTTGCCTTCCCTTACTGCCCACCCTGCCAAGGCTTTCAGTCAACACACGGCAAAGAAGACAGTTGGGGGCTCCCTCCCTCCCTGCTTCCCTTCTCCCTCCCTCCCCTTTGGCAGTCCCTCTGCCTCTCTCTGAGTTCCTCTCATGCTCACCCAGCCCCACCTGGGGCCCCTCCTGCCTATCCACTCCAATGCTATCTCTCTAGCCTAGACAGCCCAGAGTTCTGGTCCTCAGACCAGGCAGCATCAGGAGATGCTAATGGCTACAGTTTGCATCAGCATTGCTCTAGGTCTCTGGATGCCTGACCTCAGTTTCCTTTGGCTTCATCTGGCAAATGGGCCACAGCACAGACGTCATAAGGCGTCAGATGGGGGAATGGCCTTGAGCCTTCCCCCTCAATACTTCCTCACTCAGTGGCCTTGACCACTCCAGCCCTTGCTTCCCATCAGCCAGATACTCCTGGC